ATCAATCTTAACAAAATATCCTCGAAAACCTACACTAAGCAAAAATTGCTGCCGATCACAAATAAAAGAAATGAAATTGAGAAAAATCTTTGTGGTTACCACTCGTGCGATACGTATTTTTTGTTAAAAAGATGAATGAAGAAATGCTACAGAAATTTTAGGCAACAAGAGATCTTTTTGAAAATAAAAATATGAGTTTCTTCAAATAAGTACAAAAAGAAATAATTTTCGTAGTTATTGAACAATATTCGTTTGATGATGCAAAGGTAAAAAATGTTTGGTAAAATAAGTTGTTAAGTGGATAAAGCGCAGATTCAATAAATGCAAATTCTGAAAAGTTTTGATATCAACTTTGATAAAAATAATTTTAATGTAACCTGAATGGCACAAGTCGGTTAATCGATAAGAAATCCGGCCCCATCCGACTTGTGCAATTTGGGTAATATGAAAATGTTGCTAACATCAAGATTGAGCAGGAACTAAGCCTATAATCACATGAATTGTGGCATATCAACATGGTTGATCAGTTCATATGATTAGAAAAACTGATATAATATATTTAATTTTAATACATTCATGACATTCACTATCTGTAGATGCAAGTATAGAACCTACCCAAAGTATATTTGATAGCTAAATTGATTTTTAAATTCAATCACAACTTAGTATTTCTCAAGTATTTTTATAAATAAGACAAATTCAACAAAAAGTGACTTAGTATAATATTAATCATTTCAACGATCCAAAGAAATTCAAGTCTATTGAAAACCACTTCAAAAATGTCAAACGTTTTTACCACAAAAAGCCAGCATTTCTCCTTTTAAAAATTGTAAATAAAAAAACAATATTTTCATTGTTATTGCTTCAGCTTCTATTCAACCATTAAGTATATAATAAATAGAGATAAAAGTAAATGAAAAGAGAATAAAATAATTGCTTAAAGAAGCTCCAGTTTCATGAATTGGCTAAATTGTTCAATCGTCAGTAAGAAATCAAACAATAATAAAAAATAAGAAGTTAATAATAATAAAAGAAAGAAAGAGAGAAAGACGCATGTTTATAATTAGTGAAAACCTCCAAGTTATAATTAAATGCATTGGACGATATTGTTGGAATCAAATTGATTGAGCATCGTAAAGAATAGAAATAGCAAATGATTATAGAAAATTAGAAGAATAAACAAGTTTTGCGTCTGATCTTTTACGGCTGATGAAGTAAATTAATATGGAATGAGAATGGAAGTTCAGTAGCACATAGAATATTTTTTTTTATCACCTATATACTTTGTTATTATTGATCAATAATAACGGATACTTCTTGTGATGATTACTTCTGTTCCCTTTGATGATACCCTTCAAGGCACAGAAGCGATCACTTCTTTAAAAAACTCTATAAACCACTGCATCCATTAAAATTGTTGATATTTCTGTGAACTTTTTTTAATGACTTTAATTTTATTGAAGCTGATTACACCGCAGATTAATTAAAATGATAATGCTTAAGCCAATTGCAAGATTGTTTTTTCATAAGAATAATTACGGTGATTTAATTTTATAAATATGGATTGTTTTGCAAATTGCTGACTTAATAACTTGATTTGTCAATGTTTTTTTTTAAGAAATATAAAAATTTGTGAAGGATTAGCTTGACCATTTGCATCATAAATGAAGAAAGTTTAACGATATTTTAAACATTTTGCACTAAAATTTTCATTCATTAAAATTATTAAAATTCATTTACATTAAATATTTTAAAAACCATCAATGAAACAAATTGCAAGCTATAATCTTCAAAAAAATATTATTTTCAATCCCTAGAATCACTGAAGCACCTGCCAAAACCTTTCAAGAAGCTCGTCATGCATTCTTACTCTTATCTTTATTAGCCAGAACGAAAAGTTAAAAACTTTTTAATTTTATTTAAGAAATCAAAATACATCTGATATCTCCCATTTCCATCACTAACATCACTTTTCCATTACTCAACAAAAAATTAATTTTATGATCAACAAATTGATAACCGTTAAGAATAATTTAAATTCAATTTAATTAATGTCGTTAATGAAAAATAAAATTGAAGTTGAGAGGAATTTCCGTTACTGATTAAATAGCTTAAATACGTGAAACTTTTCTTGATTTTCTGATTGATCTGACTTAATTTCATCTTGTTAGCTAGAATGAGGCAAATTATCTCATCGCAAGTGGATCATCGGTACTTTTATTGTGTAGTTAAATTAAAGCATTTGATTATTATTTGAAGTGATTTTGGGGAAATTATTAGGAAGATATAGAATATTAGAAAATAATTCAATTAGTCTGGTTTTGTTTGATTTTTGAAATGTGTTAAAATTATTCTAAAAGCACAGTAATCTTGATTTTTTGTGTTTCTGGATTAAATCAACAATTTAAATGATTTGCAAGGAAATTATTATTATTATTAAAACGGCATAAAAACCTCTGCATTAACATATAATAGAATAAAATATAATAATAATAACGGTCATTCTTAATTTGAAAAATATGATTTTAACTGACAAAAACGAAACATTTCGTAAATATGAAAATTTGATCATCTTAGAAATAAAAGTGTAAGAAATAAATAAATAAAGTGAGTTTGTGTAATTAATTTAACAGTAAGTTGTGGCAAAGAGTGATAAAAGTGACAAGGCAATTGAAAATGGACTTAAATGACGTTATGGATACATCGGAATTTGATCTTTTGCATGAGATAAGCTTTTAAATGGTACGGTAAGTTTGAAATGTTATGTTAACTTATTACAACTTATGACACTTTTTACTTAAATGATCACAAAACTGTTAACTCCAAATGACTTTAATAATATTTTGAGTTTGATAACTTTACGGTGATTTTATTTGAACTTCAAATTTCAACAATTCGTACAAATTCTTAAAAACTATATTTAATTTGATTAAATTGAAGAATTTTCCTGACAATGTTTCAAGATTTAGTAATTTAAATCTCTTCAAAGTTTTCCCATTAAAAATATTCTATCAAAATCTCAAAATACTAAAGTCAGCATGAATCTTAATTTTCGCTTGCTAATGTAACGAATCCATAACAGACCTGGTTTAAATTAAATCAAGTCACAGCAAAAAAGCTTTTAAATACACAATAACATCAAATTAAGATCAATTTATAAAATAAAATGAAATTAACGTTTTGCCTTAGTTCAGAATTGACAATATTTTGCCATGCATGTAATTTCCTTACAATAAAATTTAATTTTCATACAAAAGGCACTGAGAAAATCGAGAAGATCTTAATAAACATCCAAGCAGAATTTTATGTCACTGAGATATTTAAAAATTCGTTCATTCTCACAGCACTTAATTGATTAGTTGTGCCCAAAAAATGAGGGAATATAAAATTTGCACACCATAACATCTTTGATGATCAGATCGAGCTGCGCTGCATCTGATAATATTTTATTATATTCCGTATGATAGAACGACACCACACAATGCTTAATTTCCATTTAATGAGATCAACTAAAATCACGTCTTTAGATAATCTTTGTTTTTTATTGACTTGATAGGAGGGTTGTAAAAAATATAAACGAGCTCTTGATGTTCCTAGTGCGTTTTTCTCGATGAGAATAATTTGAGAAACAAATCATGAAATATTCTAATTGAAGATTTTTTGGGCTTTTTCATTTTTATTGACGCATTTAAAAGTTTTCGGATTTCAAGCTAAATAAATTTATGTATCCATCACTAGAGTTGTTGCTAGACATTTTCATACCTACAATTTTTTAAGTCAAATAAATTTGCAAACAAAACTAACCTAAGTCAAGTAAAAACTAGTTCCTTTCCTCCTTAGTATTACCAAACAATTCTCAAAAATTAAGATATGCTCATTTTTATTTAACAGCACACAGTGCAGCAAGATATTAAAGTAGAACTTAAGTCACCGTAACTTTTTAATCCTCATATCTTTAGATCAGGTCATTACATTATCATATTAAATATATGTCTGATAAATGCAATAAATGCAAATCTTAAGCGAACAGCTCTTTCTAAAGCACAGTAAATGAATATTCTTGTGTGTCCTCAAAATATGGATTTTTAATTAAAAGATCTTTTAAGTTAATAAGTTAATGTCGAGGATAATGAACTTTGAGTTATTTTGATGAAGATGTTGCTAGTAAGGAATATTATTTGGATAAATATACACTAAGAATCTCTTCAATAAAGGATAATAATCTCTTCAGTAAAGGATGAAAAAAATACCATGTTCTTTTGAAAATTGAGATCAAATTTGATTAATTAATGCTAGCTATTCAACTGCTGTAAAGTATTTCACTTGGTATTCGGTAAATTAGGTTATTGATAAGCTGTAGCCAGCGATAGAACTAGCATATAAGAGAGGCAATGGATCACAAATAATCATCAAGGGAAGGGAAGTGAGGAAGTAAGTAAGAAGTCACCAACTTGGTTTTCCAGATGTCTTTTTGAAAGTGTTTTTTTTTTAAATTAATAATTTATTATAAGAATTTTGAAAAGTTGTAAGCATAACTCCAGAATCTCAAAAAAAAAAAAATTTAAAAAATTTTATATCAAATCCATTGGATTAGGACAGTTTTAGAGCAAATCATGCAAAGACATTTTTTAGATTTTATTTGCGATCTAATGCTGAAAATTTAATAATTTAAAATGAATGGGTTCGACTTGGAAGTATTTTATGAAATTTAACTGAACCTGATTAACGTTAAGTTTCATGAAGTTTTTTTTCTTTTCAACTTCTAAACTTTGTAGGTCAAATAATGTCTCAAATAATTTTGTTTAACAAAAAAAAAACTTGAAACGCTAAGTTTTGCATTTATTTAGCTTCATCCTACCCTTTTTGCAGCTTGTAATCAAAAATAAATTAAAAATGTAAGCACTGATCTCCTTTTCATTTTCAAACATTCAAATGCGTTAAGACTGAATTTCCAGCAAGGATCCAGTCACTTCATTATGATTTTTTATGTTATTACTCACCTTCTTTGTCTTCTCAAACAACCAGGTGAAATAATTGACTATAAACTTTTTAAAGCTTGTGTAACAGAAACAGCACAAAAAGTATTCTAAATAAAAAAATTTTTTTTACGATTTCTTGCTGAATATATCACATCAAAAAAAAAATATGAAAATTACCACAATATCACGATCAGTTTAAACTTCTTTTTTTTCAGTTTCTTAATGTGCATAAAAAAAAGTTTTTTTCTGTGTTAAAAAATAAATTTTTGTTATTTCTTTCTTTTATAACAAATAATGTTTCAACTTCATTAAACAAATCAATTTTTTATGGAATCATCCACGAGAAGCAACAAAAAAAGTTCATTTCTTTCACAGTCTTCAATAATCAGTCTCAGTACTTTCTTATTATTTTATTATTGCACAATGTTCTTTAAAGAATCTTTGCACTAGACAACGAAAAATCTGTACAGCATAAGCAACTGCGCGTCTTTAAACGATCGCGGTTAGATGAAAACTAAAGCTAGGCACTTGCAGCAAGAAATTTTTTTTCTTTTTTTTTGCTAATAGTTAGTATTTTCTTTTCTTGCCGTTTTACTCTCTTTTCACATGCTGCCGTTGACTCACATTGAACGCAATTGAGAGAAGAAAAATACTTTGGCTTTACTCTTTTGATGCGGAATAACTTGAAACACTTACAGTATGAAATGTGGATGAGATGAGTTGTTAGAAGGTGGATTTGGATATGCATTTTGTCTTTTTATTCGTTTTTATTGATAAAATTAGCCATAAATAGGAATTTATGTCTCCTTAATTTAAAATAGGCAAAAATTAGGCTTTTCTTTGGTCAATCATTGACTAAATTGATGTTTTTTGAATAATGACATTAAAATGATACAGTTGAACTATGCATCAGGTTTTAAATACCTAAGAACTGTGTAGCTAGGTTAGAATTCTGTTAGTGTTCCTGGAAAACCCTTAAAGTTTAGAATCAATTATATTTCAAATTGAGAATCAACATCTAATTTTTAACAACTTTAGGAATCGTGAAAGTGTAGCATTGTTGAAGTTTTGAAGTAAGATAATAGCCATTCAATTAAACAATCAAAAGACTAAATGCGCTTTATACAACCTCAATCCTAACACTTCAAAATAATTTTCTCTTAGTTTTTAAATACTCAACATCGACTCATTTCTTATCTTCAACCGTAATTCGCATTTACTTGCATATCTCAAACGTGATATTAAATGGAAAATGAAACAAAAATAAATGAAATTCCTGATTATCAACTAAACCGGGATGAATTCAATGTCGTTTAACTAGATTCTTCTATGTAGATCTCATCGATTAATGAATTGACCTAAATGTCTTGTTTTGGTGTCTAATGTGCTAGAAAAAAAGAATCTTCTAGTTCTATGGAATGCGTATTAATTGATCGCATAACTTTTCAAGACGAGTCTAGGCTTGCACATTGTAATTTATGTGATTTGAATTTTAAATTGCAATTACTTGAAAAGAGAATAATAGAATTATCTGCGATGGTCACATTGCAGTGCGATTCTTTGAATTTTAAACTAAATAAATTGATTACTTACCAATAAAAAATAGCTTTCTTGTGCTGGTCTGTTTGCATTTTTATGATTACTGTGGGTATTTAAATAATAAGGAGATGTAATGTGAATTAAACAGTTGAGGTTGTAGAAAGTTTGAGATTTAAATTTTGTGGAAAGCTTTAAAGCTCATTGCTTTTTATAGGAAAGCTTAGTGAAGCTTCTGCAAAAGAAATAGGAAAACGCTATAATTTTTAAATTTTTTATTCTTTATTTTTTACGATTTTAATGGAATGAAAATACAAAAAGAAATTCTTTATTATAATCAAGTATATCATAGATAGAAATAATCGCTCATCAAAAATTTTTCTCGCATTTCATATTTTTTTTTTCTTATCAAAATATTCTTATCCAAAAATCATTCTTTATCCATATTATCATTAATATGATTCATCAAATTTCTAAGAAACTATCGAAAAAGGCCATAAAAATTCATTCAAAGAATCTCATTATAAAAATTTCTTTTTTTTCTTCATAAGGAACCAAAGTTATTGATTTCAATTTCGAATTTCAAAGTCAATCGTTCTCGTTTTTTTTCAGTCCAATCGTTTTATAAACGATATTTTCAATAAAAATTTGAGCGCATATCTTAATGTAATCATTAGTAACACAATGTTCAAGTAATCAGCTTTTCACTTCTATATCTAAATTGAGGTTAAGTTGTCTTGGAAATTAGAAAACTTCTTGAAAAAAATTGTCAAAATTTCAAAAATGTTTTAAAACTTTTGAATAATTTTGTCAAAGCTATCAAAAATAAGAATTTGAAAATTTCAGTTTTAAAAGCTTTAACAAATGTTTTAGTATTTTGACCAATTTTGACATGGTTTTTGAACATTTTGAAATATTTTGACAAACTTTTTAAAATTTCTTAAGAACTTTTTGAAAATTTTTGCAATCTTTTCAAAATTTTCTAAACATTCCAAGCCACATTAACCTCACAAATCTCCAATATTATAAAACAAAACAAAAAATATCTATCAACATTAATCAATTAAGCCAAAAAACTTCAAAAATAAAAATCAATTCAAAATTCTTGTGTTTTTATCTTATTAGAATCACAAAATAAAATTTGTTTCTCATTTCATAGTTATTTTAATTTTTTAATGCTCACTTTAAATGTTACAGTAAGTTTGAACCAAATAGTCGAGGTCTCTCAGAGTTGGCTTTCGTCTTCAACTTTTTATTTCTTTATTTTTTTATTTTTTGTTTTGTTTTGTCGTCTCAAATTAATTATTGAAAGCTCTATTTGTTATTTTTTTTTATTACATCTTTTTGTGATTTGTGACAAGAACATTTCCCTGAACAAAGATCTCTGCTTGTAATTTTTTTTCCTTAATTTTTTAATGCAACTCTATAGATATTTACTTTTATCTTCTCTTCTTACTATTATTTTAACAGTTTTTTAATATTTTTTTTTTGTTTTTTTTCCGGTACATTCATTTCATTTTCAATATTTTCATTTCCAAAAAAATAATATTACCATCCATTGTTATTTCTTTGTATTTTTTTGGTTTACATCTTGTTTTCATCTTCATATCATTATTTTATTATTTATTTTAATCAAAACGAACCTGAATGCATATTTGTTTTTCTACTTGCTTTTACCTTTCTTCAAAGTGTTATTTCTATAGAAAAAAGGTTATTAGTTATCAATAGTTGCTTATATTCGCGGATTTGATGGTTCTAAACTGCTTGTAGAATTGATTTGAGATTTAAAGACGATTTCATTAATATTATTAACTCAATCAAACCTTTTGAGGTTTTGTTTACAAAAAACTGCGCATTCATTAGATCAATATTAAGAAATACGCACGCTATCAACTGAATCTGCTCCATAATCCTTAGATTACACAATTAAACAAAGTCTTTCATTTGAAATTAAGCTAGAATTAGTAAATTGGCTATCAATTTAATTTTCAAAATCTAAATCTAATTATTTGATACATTTTGAACAATCAAAAGCACTTCTATAAAAAACTAGAGTTTAATTTTGCTTGTTAAGGAATCAAATGTTCAGTCTAGTGTTAAACTAGAACAAATTAGACTCAAATAGTTTCCAAAAGTTTGGATTGCGAAAAAACTTAATTTTTTCACAAACATTATTTAATGTTAATCTTATTAAACTTATAGAATACTAAATGAATCTACGAAGAAACGGAATCTAGCTACATGTTGATCAAGGACGAACAAACCTTCTTGATAGATTGAAACTGAAAAATCCAATTTTGAACATTTTTGATCAAATTTCAAATTTGATGATTTTTGTTGTTTGATTTTTATCATTTTGACCAGTTTCAAATCTTTTTCAAATCTTTTTCTAACCTCAAATTCATCCTAATCTTTGCCAGATCATTAACTTTCTAGATCTCTGCTTGATTTTAAAGTAATTATCAAACTAAGATCGAGAAATTTGTCACATCAAATCCCCGTCTACATACAAAAATACAAAGGAAATAAGAATACAAAGCTATATCTCTAGTTATACGTTTCTCATACATCGCGCAGCATTATTTTTCTTTTGCAACACTTAAACAATACAATCGAAAAAGGGTAAAAAAATGTTCTTTTGAGGATTTTAAAAATTAGGAAAATTAAAGTTCTTAAAACATAATTATGTACATAAAACTTATGCTTAATTATCAATATATAAATCGTATTTATCTTTCTTTTCTTTTTTTAATGGTATGTAGGTAGGTAAAATGTATTTCTATAATAATTTTAAAGGTAAAAACTGTTCATTCATTTTAATTTTAATTTTTTTTTTTCTTCAATTAATTTATCATGAAAAGCACGGGCAATAATGTTTATATCAAGGATGAAGATTAGAAGCTTTAATTGATTGACATCCATCAAGTAAAGCTCCAGTGATCCCCAGCAATAATTTTATCTTAAATAATCTTATATTTCATTTTCTTATCATTTTACAACTAGACATTATATCATCAATCGTATATCAATCTTATCATTGTAGGTTTTTTTTCATATATTATTAAACTTAATCTCATGGTACTTTAAATTAGTTAATTAATTTCACTGGATTTCTACCAACTATTGAGCTTTTACCTTATAATTCTTTCTTTTCGTATTTTCTTATTATGTCTGGGTCTGTATGTGTGAATGTATTTGCATTATTATTATTATTCAGAAATGTTCATAGAAGTCCATAATTTTCATGTCTTATTGTGAATTGGGAATTTCAGCTGGGGAGATAAAGTGAAATTTGTACAGATTGGCAGGTATGGCAACATTGCCACAATTGTTGTGTGTCATCAAAAAGAAGAACATAAAAATATTTCTTTTGTTTTTTTCCTTAATTTACTTCTATTGAACAATGACAATCATTTCTGATATTGTTTCCATGGACATTTCTGTTTGTTGTGGGGAGAAAAGGGGGGAATTGTTTTTTACTTTTATTTCTTGTGTTTTTGGAAGTAGTTCGTAACTATTGCAATGGTTTTGTAGATTATTTTCAGCATCATCATAGGTATCTATAGTATAATATGTTTTATGGAAATTAATTATTTCAGGTCTTCTGGTAATTTATTTATATGCTCTACACGTTTTACTTTTCAACATAGTTTTCTTTTATGTTTTTTTTTTAAATTACAGCTCGTTTAAGATGTCAAAGGGATTTGAATATTTGAAGGAATTTCTGAAGTTTTTGGGAAGTAATGTTGGCTAATTTTATTGATATTTTTTGTAATCTTCAGATCTTATTTTAAATGCTTAATATCACTTCTTCAGATTCAACATTTGAGAGCTTTAGTTAAATTTTTGATCTTTAAGTTTGAATTTCGATCTTAAAGTTCAAATTTCGATCTTAAAGTTAAAATTTTAATCTTTAATGCTAAATTTCAATCTTCAAGTTCAAGTTTTGATCCTCAAGTTCAAATTTTGATCTTAAAGTTCTTAAATTTAAAGTTTGAAGAGAAAAAAACTCATAATTCCAAAAATCCAGCAACTCCTCCCAAATCATCCAAATTCCTCAAATGACATCATTTTAAATACTACAAAAAGCAACAACTAAAGGAAATTAATCAATCACTTAATTACAAAAATAAAAAAAATTAAAACCGATCAAAATAACAAAAGCACAAAAATATAAAATAAAACAAGAGTTTATATATGCATTTGTGGTTGTGGGAGTGTGTGTGTGTGTGTGTGTGTGTGTATTTGTTTGTAAATATATGTATCGATAATGACAAGAGATCAATGAATGAAAGTAATTTAATAAAATAAGACGTACTGTTTATCTGCATTATGAACTAACCAGCATTTATATTACATCTAACGATAACAATTACAAGTGATAGATATTTCTAAAAATGAAGCTGCTTCTTTTAAGATTTTTTTTTTCATCATTTTTTTAGATGCCAATACAAACATTTTTTTTGATTATCCTAAATGCTTTTCATCATCATCTTAATTTTAATTTATATTTTGGTAGTATAACTTTTTTTTTAAAAAAATTTGGTACTTAATCTTTTATGTATGTCCTCCTTTCTTTTTTGATGGTTCCTAATACTTAAGAAAACAATTTTAAGCTTAAGAACTATATCAATAATAATTCCAGAATCTGCTGTTCACATCAAACAACATAATATTGGTGCCAATTACTTGATTTAACACAATGGTCAATAACTTATGAATAAATCATTTCAGGCATGAAACAAATCATATTCATCAGTTATATCCAATCAATATATATATAAAAAAAATCATTTTGTATTCAATTTGTTAAGCTTAATTGTTTGTTTGATAATTTAAAGTTCATTCGCTTACATGCGATAGAAATGCTTAAAGTTTCTCATTGGCACTAAGTGCCGATAACGTCTTCTTTATTCTCAATGCTGTTAAACGCGCTGCTGGATTCTGATACCAACAATCTTTCATGATCTTTGACATTCCAAATAATACATCCGATACTTGCCATTTGTTGGGGATTGTTGGGCGTTGGTTATCAATGCAAATGACCTAATAATTAGGAAAAATGTTATGTAGTTATGTTAAAATACTCCCGAGTGGAACATTTGACATAATGCATAGCTAATAGGTAGTCGTAGGGTTGACTAATTACAAACTTGTGGATTATTCCGAAGAATTTGTCACTTATCAACCCAACGACTATATTTTGTATCTAGTAAAGTTCAGAGTTCCACTCAGGTCTAGTTCGAAGTATCAGCAGCCTGACACATCTTCAAACCCTTCAAAAACAACAACCTACCTTTCTCATCTCTTCAATACTTGGATCAGGTTGAACAACGTCAAAGAAAGGTAGCTGATAATCTTCATACATGTTGCCAGTGTTACATCTCCTAGCAATTTCCCAAAGTATTAATCCATATGCATAAATATCAGCACGTTTGAATGAGTCGAAATGATTAATATTGATTGTATCGTCAAGAACCTAAAGAAGATAAATATTTAGATTTTTATGATCCTTCTAAGAAGATCTAATCCATACCTCAGGAGCCATGTAACGTTTTGTTCCAACTCGGTGGGTTGAAGGAATATCAATTGTATCTGTTTTTGCATTATGACGCACAGCAAGACCTAAATCTCCAATCGCACATGTCAAATTAGCTTTAACAAGGATATTCTTACTCTTTAAATCTCGATGTGCAATTCCAGGCTTTCCTGGACATTCCTTACAGTCCTTACACTGTGACTTACAGTCTTTAACGAATGTTCCTACAATATCCATGTGAAGATGTGCTAATCCTGTTGCAATAGTTAATGCCATTAAAACCATTGTCTTAGCACTAACAGTGTGAGCATTAAGGAAATCAAAAAGTGATCCATTCTCATGATAATCAGTCACAAGCCACAACTGTGTCCATGTTCCATTATCTTTGTTGTCTGCAGCAATAAATCCTAAAATGTTGTCGTGACGCAACATTGAAGTTTGATAGATTTCAGCCTCTCGTGTCCATGAACATTCTTCTCTACTTGAGAAGATCTTCACTGCAACTTTTTCGCCTCTCCAACGACCGACCTTAAAAAAATAAATTTTTATTGACAATTCTACAGCAAATAATGGAAATAATACTCACCCAAACCTGCCCAAATCGTCCATTTCCAATAATTTTCTCCAACTGGATTTGTCTTGCGATTGATCGTTGAACTAATAATGGCAAGCCAGCTGAACCACTTCCAGACGTAGTCATTTCAATAATGTCATGCAGTGTTTGTCCACATAACGACTCTTCAGTTATCAATGGCTGTCCACCACTATTTTGCTTTCTTTTGCGTAGAAGGAAGAACATTGAGATGACACCAATCACAAAAATACATGACAGTAATGCACTTAGTGCAATAAACAGTATTGATGGCTCCAAAATATTATCTTTTTGCATTGGAACTAGATGGGGATTGAAAATTGATATTAATATTTTATGAATTGGATGTGGGTAAAGAGGAAGGAGATTGATGCAGTTTTTTGATGAATTAAGACTTTGACAAGATACATCAGCCATCAAATCATTAGCTAGCATCCTAATTTAAAATTAATGAGACATAAATGCATCTGACTAAATCCATGGTATCCACAAAACACTGCCTCAATCATCTTCACAAGAGTAAAGTCAGCAATTAGACCAAAATCATTCATTAAAGCCGTGCATGAATAATTTTAGTAAAATGCAGCCTTAATTTAAGAGAATGATATAAAAGGAAATGTACAGCATGCGTAAAAAGAAGCATTTAGCCCAAAGCTAGCACACAAAATAGATTAAAAATATTAATAAACATAAAAAATTATTTTAAATACCTAATATGAACAGCACAACTTTTTTGAGGATATTTTTAAAATTAATGTTCAAGTTCTTAGTACAAGTCTTGGAGATTTTAATTCTTTGAGGAAGATTCGATAATTTTAATTGAGGATTTTTTAAGGAAATTTTAAGGAAACTTAGTCATGCAAAGCTAGACTTGATTAGGGATGTTAAGAGTAAAATGAATTCAAGAGTGCGGAACTGATCAACTTGGTTGAATCCAAAGAAGTAAGCAAAACCTCAAAGAATCAAACTCTCCGATTCGTGATGATGTCAAAAGATTTAATGTAAAAATGTCTATGTCCTATGAAAATGTCAATTCTATTAATCAGTTCATTCAGTTATACCTATATTAATCCATCTTTCGAGATTCAGCACATTCAATCCCACTGAACTATTTCATCTTCCATAAAATATATTTAACAGGAATTATTCATACGACAGGACGATCACAAAGTATGATGAGAATCAAAATGGAATTAACTGTTTTTTTTCTGAGAAGAGATTTGATGAAATATTATTAATATTGTTTGTTTCATGGATGAGTAAACAACGAAAGGACGTCTCACTATAACTTTAATGTGCAATACCTGCTCTAAGAGCTTTTGCAAGACAATAAATATACTAATCTGTAAAGTAAATTTATGAAACAATTATTCCGACGTTTGAAGATTTGAAATGTTTGAAATTGAGATTTAAATTTGAATTTTTGAACTTTATAATCTCAATCTGATAAAAATTCAAATTCAAAAAATTCTATTCAAAAATAATTCAAATCTAAAGTTCAAAAAAAATTCAAATTTCAAAAAGCCGTTACACAATGAAAGCCTTTTAATGAATATTATCCCTCAATAATTTTAGAAAAATTGGTCAAAAAATAATGTTGATACCTTCAGGTAGTTCAATTAGGGATTCAACGTTACAAAAGTCCTTATCACAGCACTTTTCTATTGTAAACGGCGGTTCATTCAATTTTGATGCGCATTGTCTCAGATCATAAATAATCAAATTTTTTCTATGCCAACATCTATAAAAACATATGGAAACTCATTATAGAATTTTATAAGTTTATGGATGATTGATGGAATCATAAATTTTGACGTTAACATGTCAATCAGTATCTGTAGTCGATTGTCTTAGAACTAAGAACTTAAAGGCATATTCAATGTCTTATCAATAAAATAAAAGAATTAGCAGAATATACAGCTATCTACTCAATAAAAATAATGCAAGTTCATTAGCCTTTTCAAATGATAATTCTAATCGCTGTTTGTGCTGATTGCTTTAGTAAACAAGACAATAACTTTAATTATTTGCGAAAGTTAGAAGTAAATAAGAGTTTATAGCAACAAAATTAGCTACAAATGCATTCACAAATAATAAAAATCAAGTCTTTACAATAATTACTACTACGAGACTTAGAGGTTGCAGTATTGATTGTTTTTTTGTTGATCTAAGAATATACAGCTAGGGAACTTTGTTTTGTAGCTAGGGAAAGGGTTTTTTGACTAAATGGTTTGCCATCAGAGTTGAAAATTGTAACGCAAAGTTACTAATCATGGGTTCGAATGCCAGTAAATTCCTACATTCAAAAAAACGTTTCAAGCTTTTGACACAGCTTATTTTTTACACCTGATACTTGAATTGTTTTTAACATTCATTCATAGAATGGCATACTTTATGAAATTATTCATTGCCACAATTTTTGCTTACCTAATTGAAATTCTTTGTTTATTGACGTTCAGAACTCAAAGACGATTTTTTTTCAAAGGTTTGGAACTGAAAATTGATCAAAGAAGATCCATCAAGATGTTGTTAATCAGTTCCACATTCTTGACATTTTAAGGAGTTTTAAGTCGATTGAATTTCTTTTGAGTTAACTTTGAATAGACTCGAATAGTTTCGACTCGATTAAACTTTTTGTGTTAAAAAATCGACTCAGAATTTATTCAAAGTCGATTCTAAGTCAATTTGTGTCGAGTCGAATCATTTGTAAGTTAAGTTTAAGCAAGTTTGAGTCGAGCCTAGTTGATTCCGTGTCAACTCAACCCAATCGACTTCGAGCTCTGTTCTCTTTTTATTACAATTTCATTGAATGCAAGAAAATATTTGCAATTTTAATTCAAAGGAAATTCTAGCAATGTCGTCAAATTTATTAAAACTGGTCAGCAAATTACAAAATGTCCAATTTTTTTCCCACTAAACCCAACACCTTAGCTTGTGGATGGAATTTGAGACAAAGTGAAACTGAGTCTTCACAATACTTATCAAATTGCTTAATATAATACGAAGGAATTCATTGAATCATGCAATAGGTTTAGTTCCAAAAAACAATTTTTGTATCTTATTTCCAAGAAAAAAACAACAACAAAACTATTGAACCTCTAATGTCAGTCAAATATGCGAGGAATAAGAAAGATAAAGTGTATAATAATTATAATTAAAGATAGCAATAAAAGTAATAATAATAATAATAAAAGTAGTATTAAAGATATAGCCTTTTGCCAATTAATAAAACGAAATGAATAAAAAATTATAGAATTATAGTTTTGATATTTGCTTTGGTTTTTGAGAGAATTAATAAAAATTTCTACCTGGCTGCGGCATAATGCCGTTATTGCAAAAATCTGTTTGACAGCAATCTGAATTAAAATCCTTTTTTTCTTTTGACGAATAACATTGGAGAGGTAAACGACCTTCAAGGATGTGAATTCGTTCTATGCACCTATATTCATTATGTTCGCATTTTTTTAAATGAATTTCGATAAAATACGACATTTTGCATTTCGGGTGATATCATCAAATTGAATTTAGAGTTTATTTTTTTTTGGTTTCATTTCCAAATTGTGATTGCCAGAGGATTTTTTTTTTTGGAGGAAAAAATTATTATTTTGTTAATAGTTTTATTAGAATTGAGCAAAGAAAAAAAAAGTTTAAAATCAAAAAATTATCTGAAAACGAAATGTCAATCATCAAAACAGTTTCAAACCGTCTTTATTTTTTTTGTATGGAATTTTAAATTAATTATAATAATCTTGATTCTAGATTATCGAGTTTTATGTGATTTATAAAGATAGCATTTAGTTTCTCTTGTGCACTTCTGTTCGCTTTAAAGTAATTAACTTCAGGTGTGGTTTTACTTGATTTGGGGAAATTAGATTTAGATAAAGTGAATTATTTGATAATCCTCGTTTGGGGTCTAGGCATCGTTATCTGAATTGCTTAGATTAAGATATTTTTGTTCGAATCAGTTAAGATTAAGCATTTAAAGAAAGATTGAATTTCTTTGACATTTACTGAGTTAAGGAGTATATTGATCCAGATTATTCAAAACACTTGGCAAAATTTTTGGAATTATCTTAGATGTAAAATAATAAACATTGACTTTGATTTGAGTACAGGACTCAGATAAATTCCCAAAAATCAATTTTTAATAATGGCAATAAACTGTTTCTATATAAGAGCAATAACTTTGCCAATGTCAGACTGAACATCTTAACTTTAACAAATTTCAGGAAATCTCCCAAATTTCCCAAATGTTTTCGCGAAAAATTTTGTTCGAAAACATCCGAAATACAAAATTACAATTTATTCCTTAATTAATGCTTTTTGAAATTCCAAAATGACTTGAATAGAAGTTTTTGACTATCAGTACATTTAAACTATTCGAAAAGCTATAACACGTAAACTAAAGGATAAATAAGATGAATAAATTTTCAATCAGTGTTGCATTCTGGTCATTTGTCTGGATCAGATAAATTCTGAGACAGAAATTTCTTCATAAAGATCGATTCTACATGAAGATAGAAAATCTAATCTACACAAAGATTATTTCTACATAAAGATTCTGTCTACATAAAGATTCGATGTAGATGTCTACAATTCTACATTCTTTTCTGATGTAGACCTGGAAAAAATGTAGAATTGTAGACATCTACATCGAATCTTTATGTAGACAGAATCTTTATATAGAAATAATCTTTGTGTAGATTAGATTTTCTATCTTCATGTAGAATCGATCTTTATGAAGAAAGTTTCTTAGCTAGACAAAAACTATTGAAGAATCTACATTCTTCATCTAGTGTAGACATCTACATTTGCATCACTGTTTTCAATTTAAAATGTAATCAAATCATTTTCGAACACAATTTTTCCATTTACGAAGAACAACGTGCTGCTGTTTCGTGCAAGGATGTGGAACTGATTTCATCAGTACCACACCCTTGGTTTCGTGTTGGAGTTTAATTTTGAATCGCAGTGCCTCCAGCTCAAAAGGAAGGGGACTTCCCATGCTTTGCCTTTTTACCTCGTGTTGGAGTCGACCTAACTTTAGACAATCATTTTCAACTTTAAATTAACACGAGCTTCTTCTTATAAAACTTAAAAACTCAAAAAAAAATTACGGTAAATCTCAATTTTAATCACTAATCTGAAGCCATATCCAATAAGCATTAATATCCCAAATGAATTCAATATAAAACAACAGAAGATAAAGGAAATTCCTGAATTTTTTTATGGGTAGGGTAATGATCGTAAAGCTCACAAGAGAAACGCTCCCCAAGAAGAATAATTTTTTTAGCAATCTTGTTATTCATTACATTAACAACACACAAAAAAAAACTAAAGAAAAATACATTAGTAGATGAGATAAATAATAAAACAAAGTAGAAGAAATAAAATATCTTTTGAGTTAATCATTTTCAATTCGTGGAAGGGTTTCATGACTTATAAAAAAAATGCTTAGTTTTGTTCGTTTCATGATTTTTAAAGATTAATTTAGTTCGAACACAAACATGGTAGTAATAAAAATGAAGCAAAATAGAAAAATTATAAAATAAATTGATCATTTACGGTCAGAATCTCGCGAATCAGGCTCAGGAGCCGATTTTCGTTGGACTTTTTTGTCGTCATTGCAAAAGCTTTTTTTACAACAATAATTATCATCGCTTTGACGACACCAAAGTGGAAAACTGGGTGGAAAGAACTGTGGACTATCTAGGCAGCCGGTTCTTATGAAAATGAATTAAAAATTGCAAATTAATTTTTTGATTTTTCGTTTTCAGATTTGAGAATTTTTTTATAAATTCGAAAAAAAATATATTGTTTTTTGTTGATAATCACAAAAATCACTAGAGTTGGTCGATTGAAGGGGGACACAGCATGATGGGAATTAATTTAATTTCAAATATTCATCCATTCACGGTCAAAACTTGAGTCTTGGAAATCAGTGAAATTTGACATTACATATTTTTCCCATCAAGCTGTTATCCCCTTTGAGTCGTTTACAAATGACGTCCATCAAAATTTTATATCAAATAAAGAATGCCACACAGTACCTTCCCCCCTTAAAAATTAAACATCATTTATAAACGACCCCAAATTAATCTATGCGAACGAATTAATGAACATCAAGACCTTACCTTTGGCTATATTCATAAGTGTTTCCATTTTGTTGCCATGATAGGTAGCAGTACCCGTCCGTTTCACAAATATGATTCGATTCAGCACAATGATCGCAATAACATTTAATGAGAGCTACAAAAATTAAAATATTTTTTCTATAAATATTCTGATTAAAATAACGCGACATGCTGTCTATTACTTTTTGTTGATCTTTGTGACATTTTTAGAGGATCTGGTGTGGCATGGATTGCAGCCACATTCGGATGAATGAAATCTTGACTCACGACGTTGTCTTCGGACAAATCTTTGCTGTGCTTTATCTCAATAGTTTTACCTTTAAATAGAGAATTGTAAGATTTAAATATAGATGCAAGGGGGAAACAGCATGATGAGGAATTTATTTCCAAGGGGAGAACAACATGATGGAACATGCTATTGACAGGAATATCATTTATTGTGGAAAATTGTTAAGAATTATTTTCCATCATGTTGTTTTCCCCTTAAATAAATAATAAGGTTTAACACTATCTGTAAAATGTTGATAGATTTACGATCATAAAAAAATCATTTTTATCATTTTGTTGCGACAAAAACATTGTCAAGCTTCAATGTTATGTCTGTTCCTTTTTAATAATAATGCAAAAGTATAGGAACGAATCTTGTTGATAACAAGTTGCGTGATCTATTTATAGTCTGATTTTGCTTACTCGTAGTCTAATACTCAATGATTTGAAAATTATGTATTTTTAATTTAGGAATCGTTCACCTATGACATCCAACTCAAAATCAATTTTCACAGACCCAATTCCCCTAAAAGTCACAAAAAATCAGCGTTGGTCAACCCATGTGCCACAAAAAATAATTCAGAAAATTCCATGAACGATGTGTCTTGTGCGGTGTTGGTCATGATGTCATGGCACAAAAAAGGTTGAATGTTAGACGTCACTAATGAACGACACCTTAGATTACATTCAATTGATACCCAGAAATAGCTGAAGCGTGTCAAAATGATAAGGATAAAAAAACTTGAAAACTTCTACGGTCAATGTTGCAAATCTTATTAAATACTCAATCATTTATAGTGCCCTAAATTTTGAGGGATTAAAATAATGTTTTTTTTTGCATTCTACTGAATTGAACTAATCAGCTCTCTTTTACATCTCACATTTCAATGTTTGTGGTAGGTCGTGTTTCATTTTTCAAGTAAATTAAGAATTTGATTTCAAACTAATCGTTTTGGACTTTGTTCTTTTTTGGATTAGGCTCTGATATGTTGTTTTAGTTTTTAATTCTAATATGCTTAATATCGTTCACTATTGACGTCTAGATTCTTGAATTAGGGGTAAAAATATAATAAAATATGACTGAAAAGCAGCCTTTAGCAGTTGGGAAAACCCGTTAGTAGTTCAGATCAATGAAAATGTATAGAACAGCACTATTTATGAACAAGGAGATGAATGTGCCTTAAAATCAATTTTAGGAATGTTATTGTCAATCACAATAGATTGCATTAGCAGCCAAAGAAGTCACGATCAAAGATATTACAATTTAACCTTGACATTGCTTAATGTTAAAAGCACCCGCTACTATAGTAGAAGAATGGACACATATATTTGTAAATGAATTAAATTAAAGTTGATTCTTAGCTATACTCTGCATTTCTAAATTCCCAGAATAACAAGTTCTCGACCAAAAAACTAAAAAGTTCTCTATTTATCAGGAGTTCAAGCTGTACAAATGTTAACTTCTGTTTGTATTCACGTTCTGGAATAAATATTATATCATTCCAGAAACAGTATTTTTATCTCCAAACTTCTCGAAAGTTTTAACTATTAATACAGCTGAATACATACAACATTTAAACATTGATCGATATGAATTCTCAGGTTAAAAACCTACAGGAACATGAGCAAGAAGATCCTGGGGGCATAGTCAAATATTTTGAACTTTATCAGAAGCCAGCTTAGAGCTTGTAGATAAACAAAAAAAGTCTAGATTCTTGAAATTTCAAAAGTCAACATGACAAAACAGGAAAAGATTTATTCACACAAACAAAAAAGAAGGCAGTAAATTTGCTTAAAGATTAACAGATAAATAAATATGGAAACAACAGCAAATATGGCAGAAGTTGAAAAAGGAGTTTCGGATTTAAAATTCAATATTAATATTGTTTGTACACAAATATAAAAGTGAAAGTTCTATAAATAAACGCCATTCTTTCCGTACAGCAAAAGGCTTGTACATAGCACAGCATGAACTCTGAAAAATCATGAGTTTTATTTTCTTTTTTCCTCGGCTCGCTCAAAATGTAGTGCAACAACAATAAAGCGAACATCTAGTTAATGAATTGATACACAATCTTCCGATACTAACCATAACTTGCATATGATAAGCCAGAATATATTAAAAATGCCACTACGAAACGTTGTGATTTGATATGAAAATGAATAGCACTCATGATATATAATATATATTAAATTTTTATTTTCTTCTTTTCCTTCTCTTCTTTTGTTTTTTTGTTGTTGTAGCTGTGCACTATTTTTATTATATTATTTTTATACACTTAAATGCATTTAATTGGTAGAATTAATTCAATTTTGTTCTTTGCATCCTAATCATTCGATTTGATCAACTTATTACTGATGCATTGTCATTTTAAATGGATTAATTTGGATTTTTCTGTATTTTCAATACAGCGCATTTAGTTTTGACATTTTTCACATTCAATTATTGTCAATTCATAAAAACTTCACATTTATAAGAATCATTTCAATATTTTCTATCAAAATATGATACTTTACATCACTCTTATCAAGTTTTTAAAACCAAATAAGGAATTTTTATTATTGTACTGTGAATAAAAACTTTTTCTCAGTCCTTCATTGCTCGTTTTTAGAACCCAATTTATATATGTTTTTTTTTATTTTGCACAATTTGAGCTTTTTTAATTTGGATTATTTTAAAATAGGATTTTATTTATTTTCTGGACTCTTCTTTGGGGATTTTTGATATTTTTTGCATGTTTGTGTAGCTTTTGTTTATATATAATTGTTTTTTAAATCTGTTTTGTAAAATTTTGTAGTTTTAAAATAGTTTTTTAAATTTAAAATATATGAACTAAATTGACAACAACAAAAACAAATTTTAGTACAGCAAGTAAGGTTGTACTCAAGTGTATGTGTGTCTTTAACGTTCGTTGAACTCAATTTAAGGTTTAGCAATTTGAATTTACATTTTAAAACTTTTGAAATTTTAACGACTTTTTTAAATTCAAATCTTCCCGAGATGATATAAAAAATAACGGTTCTGAAAATTTTGAACCTTTTAAAATTGAAATTCGTTTGTTTTTATATTGATTAAATCTCTTGAATCTAGAACAACGATTATAAGAGTCATTTACTCAATAAAATATAAGATTGAATGAACTTTCAAATCAAAATCAACACTAGCTAGCAACGTGAAGTTGCACCCCTTATATAAATCTGACTTTTAACGGTTATTTTCCTTATTCACTAATACAACTTTAAAAAGTTTCCTTATAATTTTAAGTAAAATTAAAGTTAAATCGTCAATTCAGCATTATTAAACATTAATAAACATTCAAATAAGCAAATAAGCATCCCTGACAAGTTCAGCATATGAACAAAGTGATAGAAACGTGCTCATTTGTGTCAAATTCAACGCGCGCTAAAAAAAACCGGCAGAAATAGAAAAAAGCATTTCTTAAAATTGTGAAAAAATGCATAAAACACAGCTAATTAACAAGACATTGGACTTACATTTAGCAGAAATCAAAAGAAAGAGCTCGCTGAAATGGATTTCATTTAATTTTCTCATATTATCAGTGCTAGTTTTTGATATTTATAAAACAGATAATATTTCTGATAAATTCTACTGGATCGAAGTTACAGCTAGCATAATTATACTATGCTCATTGCTTAAAAACATTATTACATACTTATATTATACGTGGTTCAACGAGGAAATTGCATGTGAGAATGAGGAACAAAGAATATTATTAAGTTTAAACAAGTCAAATTCATTCGTAAAGGCGCCATCAACGAATAAGCTATGTAAACAAGAGACAAACGATATGCTTACTGGAAACATAAGAAATTTGAGTTGGCAGAATTATGCTGAACGTGAGTATTTACATTATAAATCTTTTATTTCACTTTACTTGATTCCTTATTATTTCAGCAACTACATCAAATTTGAGTCAACATACGAGCTGGATGAGCAACACCTCTATCGGAAGTTATGATTCCACTTTAACACATCATTCGGACGCAAGTTATAGTTTTCAGTCACCATCAAGGTTCAATAAATCTGATTTCATAACAGATCGTAAGAGAATGGAAGAATACTTAAATGACGTCACTGATCAAGAAAAGAGGATCGCAAGTGCTGCAGAAGCACAGAGTAATTTTGTTAGTTCTTTCAACTCATTTTGGGGAAGCTTTGATGTTAATGGCTTTGTATCGTCACTAAAGAATCTAACTTACCAGCTATCGCCTCATAATAAGCAAAGTTTGAGGGATGAATCATTTAGTAACAAAGACGAGGAACATGCTGAAATAATAAGAAAAATGAGTGCTAATAAGCTCTCAAATTACGTTGCCAATTTAAAAATGTATATCCATAAGACAATTTTGGAACCATTAGTTCATGCCATCGATGACACTGACAAAGCTTTTGAACAGCGCGGATTTACAGACATGAAAATTGGACATGTTGGAATTGAGAGATTAAAGAAAATTGCATCATCGAATCAGCAGTTAATTCAATTTGTTCCAACTCTTCCTAAGTTAATACCATTTTTGGAATTGACAACAAATCAAGAATTTCTCGTTCAACGTTTTCGTGAACTTGCTAAAGGAAGTTGCTTAAAAAATTATAAATTTACATCCAGCACTTTTGATCCATCAAATCAGAATGATCACAAACCTAATGATGCTGGAATATTGTTCCATTTATTCTGCTGTTATCTGGATTCTCAATTGCAGCCAGTTCCTGACATTTCCAGACCATTCTATAATCGCTATGTTATTATTGGAGATTCTAAAAAGACCAACGTCGATCACTACGTAAAGGAAGCTACAAGGAACAAATCAAAATGTGCTATTTTATGTAGTAATCCAATAACACCGAAATTCAACTTTGTTACTGACAAGATTCATGGAAGCAGCCACGATCGTAATAATCTATTCTATGTCATCATTCAGTTCCTATTTCACCTTAAATCTGATGGAATGATGCTCGAAACTGTATCACTAGGAAAATCTGGATTAAATCTAATTAATGTAATTGAAGATTAAGCATGTTTTGTTGTTTTTTGCGATCTCATGAACTTTATAAGCGTCAGATTTCTTTGAAATTTATTGTTTAAATAAAAAAAATATTGTTTCTTATCTCAAATAAATTTATATACAGAGTCATTTTTAATTGATTAATACTTAAGTTACTAGGTAAACATCTGGAAATTCCTTTGAGGATAATCGTTCTTGTTAATGCTGATACTTTTTGTATGAGTTGAAGGTTGCATGTGACTTTTATAAAATATCGAAATTTAACGACATTTGAAATTTTGAATAAATAACAGTTGCCAGAAATTCAAAAGTAACGATTAGGGGCCATTTACTTATTACGTAACGCTTTTAGGGGGAGGGGGGTCTAAGATTTTGTTACGATTCAAACAAGGAAATTTTTTTTTCATACAAATTTTGTTACGAGGGGGGTCTAAGAAGTCATTTTTTCGCGTTACGTAATAAGTGAACAGCCCCTTAGAGAATATTTGAAAATTAACGTCTGTCAAAAATTTTAACTTTAAATTTCCGAGATGATAAAATTAATTTAAATTTTTGACAACCGGTAAATTTTTAAATGTATCAAAACCGTACGATGATTTTTCCGTTCATTTATTCCAGGAGGGGGGGGGGGGGGGGTCAGCAAGAAAATAACGAAAATAACAATAGAAATTCCTGGAAATCCATTGTTCCTTTTTGAAAAATTACCGTTAATTTTGGACGTCATAAATGAACGGCCCCATAGCAAAAATGCAAGTTTGTTGGACACAAGCTTCATATATATCCTTCCAACTCATACAAGTCTCCAAACTGCTCGTATTAAAATAAATTAAAATACAAAAGTTTAAAGATTAAATCCAAAAAATGCATCAAATAAAGCTAAACATGAAATTTATGACTCTACGATGCATCAATCCAACACCTGAAAAGATTAATTTAATTAGTTTTGTCAAAATGTAAGTAAAAGCAATTTTTGGTTAATTTTTTGTCGATAAAACATCATTTCTGTTTCCAAATGTGTCTTCATTTTTCATTTCTTTATTAATTTTCAAAAAGGAAGAGAAAAATTAATTAAAGTTTTGTTTGATATTCCATCACGTTGTTAGATGTACGATTTATTATCAAAATCTATTAGTCTGCAATTTATTATTTTTTTCTTTCATTCTCAATTTCCTGCCATCAATTCAATTAGTTGCTTTACTTTCGCGAAATGAGTAAAATTCAATTCTCAATTCAAGTGACTTTTTGCCTTGTTAATTTTCAATTAATTTACGATTAATGTTTAATGTATAAGCAAAATTTGAGTTAATAATCTTGTATCAATTCTAATTTCTTCAATTTTTTTTGGCATTTTGCTCTTATTGACTTTTTTCTTGTTTTTTTAAATATTGAATGAAACTTTCTAAATTCTCTAAAATTATTCAATTTTGAGTTGTTTTATGCTACAGCTAAAATACAATTTTTCATGCAATTCATATTTTTTTTTTTTTTGATAACTTTTGTGGAATATTTAATTCATCTCCTATTCATGATTTCTTCGTTTTTAAAACATTGACATAACTTCCTAAAAAATCAATATGATTCAAACATAATTTTAACCATGCATAAAGTAAACTTTCTTGCATTATTAAGTCAATATGTAACATTATTAATATTAATTTATTAATTAATTAATGGAATTTTATTATTAAATTAGATTTAAAAAATGGGAGTTGTTAGGAATTGGAGGTGATTAAAAAGCCGTTAGAATTAAAATTTGAATATTTTCAGCTTAATTTGTATTGTTTTTTGCTGGAATTGTATGGTTTTTAAAATAATTTGTAAGGTTTCGAATACTTTTAACTTTCTTGGCTGTTGTAGAGTTTTGAACGAATTTATAAAACATTTGTATGGTTTTTGAAAATACATTCGACTTGTTCAATCAATAAAATTTAAATTTTTTGTAACCGTTAATTAAAAAACCTTACAAATTTACCACAAAACCATCAAAATGTTTTCAAAAATCCTGTAAAACCTCACAAATCCAACTCTAATCAGCTCAAAAATCACCTTCAAATCCCAAAATTTAATTAAGTTAACGTTAAGTATAAAGAAAAAAGAGAATAACTGAGTCTTTGAGAGTCGATTAAACATAACATTATTTAACTGAAATGAATAGTGCTAAAAACTCAATAAATCATTTTAGATAAAAGTTTTTTTAAAAATTAATTCATTTAATAAAATTGGAGGGATTAGGGTAAGTTTTTTAATGATATTGGGTACTTTAGTGTTTAAACATCTACTTTCGATCATTTTTTTTTGACAACTTCAGAGCTGATTCCGACATGATAATTAAAACCCATTTGAATTAAGTAATAATTGGACAGAGAGTTAACATATTTGTTGTTTTTTCCTGATTTTGTCATTCAGTTCCTTCACAGACTGCACAGAAAAATAATATAAAAATTTAATTCCACTTCTTATTCTTGCCATTCATTCCTTTCATGCATTATTATATATTCAACTTTTTGTGTGTTTGTTGCTTCCCCAAATCTGGACTTTCTTCAACATTCCATGTTTGAGAAATTTTTTCAATTTTTTTTTAACTTTATGTATTCTCTTGCTTAATTACTGTTATTATTCACATGCTTCTGTATTTGAACTTTGTTCAATAAGTCGGAACATTTGTCGATCATTTGAATGTATTCGCCATTACTTTGGATACTGTGGTTGTTGTTCAATCGATCCTGATTCACGATACCATTTGTGGAGTTCTCAGGTGAGGAATCGGAATTTCTGAAAAGAAATAACAAATCCAAATATTAATCCCTGTCCATATTAAGGCACACGTGTTTCTTACCTCGCTGTTATTTTCGTGAGGACACTTTGTGTCATGATGACTGCATTTTCGAGTTCTTTGAGCATTAAATTATTATTTCCAGTACTTGTGGGTTCATCTACTGATCTTAAACGTTGATGCAGCTGCAGCACTGCATTTGCTGTGTTCATTAACTGATTAATAACATTGGAACAGAATTGAGTATTAACTGGAAGTAAAAGACACAAATTATTAGCCATTCATAAATCGTAAAAACCTTAAAACTTACTATCAGCATTCTCAATGTCACTATCCTTGCATGGCATCTCCATCATGCCAGCAGCAAGTTCCAATTTCTTTGAATTGAGCATTGTATTAATATTCGTGATTCTTCGTTGATCCTGAGTTTGAATATTTCGTGGACGTGGTGGAACGGCAGGTTTTGTGGGACTAGTTATAATATTTGGCGGTGGTGACTCTTCAGAACTCGACTCATCCTGTCCGGTCGTCGTGAGATTAACGCTACTATAAGAATTTTGCATTCCTTTTCGTCGACTTATTATTCCAGCTGCACTCCTTGGATTAATATACTTAATGTTGCTATTCGCCTTGTTGTTTGATGAGATTGTTGGCCTTAAGACTCCTCCTCGTGATGCTATCGGCTCTGATTGATCTGAATCGCTCTGAATTCGAGGGATAAATAATATTAATTTTCAACGTTTTTTTTGAATTTGAAAAACGTCAGTTGAAATTCAAATTTTAAAAGACCGCTAAATAAATATGACTTACAGCATGATTGAGCATTCCAACAGATGCACTTCTCATTCCCATGCCAGAAGTAGCTGACTTTCCAACTGACGAAGCACTCCGTTTTGGTAAATTTCGGGTAGTATTTCGATCTTTTGCTTTCGGACTTGTAGCAGAGCTCTTAAATCCTTTAATTTAGAAGTAGAAACGGTATGTTAATTAAAGACTAAATTGACTGCAGTCATAAAACAAAGATGAAACAAACATTCAATAACAAAACGATAACATGCGTTTAAAAATGGCAAGTGTGGAATTAGCTTCATCACTCAAAAAGGAGATCCATAAGTAGGCAGTGTAAAAACTTGCAAAAAACAAGACAAAACAAAAAATAAATTTTTTTACCTTTTCCCATGCTTAAATCACTAAGTGAACAAGCCCTTCTAATTGACGATTCATTCTCATCTCTGTAATCGTCATTGTCAGGCACAAAAGCTTTATTGCCTGCATTTAATTTTATACAAAAATTTATAAATTTGGATGTATAACATATTCAAAACACGTGTAGATGGTGTAAGTAACACAAAAAACGGAAGGAAACATGAAAATAAATAAAAATAAAATAAAATAATTTTTAAAAGATTTTTGAATAATAAAAAAATTAATTGCGTGCTTAAAAGCGTTGTCAAAAGCGAAAGCATTTCTACGATTAATGTATAATTGAAAATATATAGGCATGCATTTGCATTATGGATATAATTTCATGCATAATAAAGTTTTAGCCACACAAATAGTTGTAAAATTATTGTTGTTAAATTGTTGGTGTTGTGTTCATGCATTAAAGTTTTCTGATTTCAATCTGCATTGTCTCGCTAGAAATAAAATTAATGACAGTAAATTTAGCCATGCTTTGACTTCCTGGTCGCTTTTTTTGGCGTGGAAGTTTGAATGGGAGTTGTTCGTGAATGATGTTTATTTGTCGTCTTTTTGTTTATTTTTGAGGGGTGGGGGGGTCTATTTTAAAAATACATTAAATAAACCCTGCTTCCCAAACCCTCTTTATTATCTAAGCAAAGGGGCGGTTCTGTTATCATGTAAAACAAAAGAATGAATTATTGAACCCACCCCCTGCCCAAAAATTTTGTTTTCAAAATCTTATCTATCTAATCTTTATCTTCAATAAACAAGCAGAACTCATAAAAAAAATTATGAAGGAACATAATCGGCCTGTTTCACTAAGGTGGATTATCCTCATTTTAGGATTATCTATTTCTTCGATGCAAGGAAAATCCAAATAATTTCTTTCTGATGTAGAATCAATTGGTAAATAATAATCAAGCTAGTTTGAGAAAAATCATTTTTCTTGTAAAGTGAATATCGCGAAAAAATAATTTTAGTATATGGATTATCCTTAGATTATCCTAGGATAATCCTAAAGATTATCCGAATTTTCAATCTTGGTGGGACCCAGTTTAAACATTTTAGATTAATTATGTGGATAATCCTAGGATAATCTCAGTATAATCGTCGGATAATCCACTTACTAGGATAATCTTATTTTGTGAAATCCATCGTCAAAAAATTATTTTCTTTAAATCCATTTTTTTCTGATTCACCGTGCAGTTTAACGAAGTAAAAAAATTTATGGATCATCTTCGGATTGAAAAAGTGGAAAATCCAATCGGTGGATAATCCACCTTAGTGAAACAGGCCGAATAATCTAGGCTTGATTAGCTTTTATAATCTCCAATACATCCCCTTCCCTCCCACAAAACATCATAAACGAACAGTCCGCTTCAATACAAGAAGCTTTATAAAAAAAATACAAAAGATGGACAAAAATAAAATAGACACAAAAAACATTGCTGTTTGTGGGTGAGAAAAATCACACCTTCGCCATCACCGGCAGTGAATTCAAAATCATCATCAAAATCATACAATTTCATGTTTCTGGATGATTGTTCGTAATAATCAGCACTGGATTTTGTTGGCTCATCAATATCATCAAATTCGAATGTTTGAAATTTCGCACCTTCAAGGACGTCAGGAAGGCTGTAGTTTCTCTTCATACCCCTATACATGTCCCCACTATCACACCAATTGATACTTTCGAGACCAGACTTGGCGAGCATATCGAAATTTTTTGTCAAATGTTTAACGAAGCCTCGCTCTTTCGTATTTCCATCAAATAATGGCTTGACGCGATTTTCACGCCTAATTCGCTCCTGCTCCAATTTCCTTTCCTCAAGTTCAACAAGCTTATTGATTATGTCAATTTTTTTCTCAATGTCACGAAACTTTCCCAAATCAGCTGTCGTTATGAAGCGCGTATCAACGAGCTGTGAAAGTCCACTTGTTGATGGCTCAATATCGTCAATATCAAATTTTTTTGACATTTCTGTCGGTTCCAATGAATCTATTGAATTCTCTAAATCATACTTCTTTTTACGTGACTCTAATGAGTCCAAACTGTCCATATTATCGTCTTCATTTATTCCTTTTTCTGCAATATAGACTTCAAATGATTTCTCATCGTCATTGCCTCTGTAAAGCCTCATCATCTTATTTAGATAATCTTTATTGACAAAGTCTCGTGCCTCATACGCACCAAAGCATGGTTTTGAGGAAGGTGTAGTTTTGGTACTTAGTGATGATGTCGTTTGCGAGCAACTTATTGTATTATTAAAGCATTCTTTCGATTTCGTTTTACCTCGACCTTTCATACTCGATGCTCGTCGATGTGCAACCGGTGGTTTATGAGCCACATAATCCATTTCTAAATTAAAATCACTTTTTTGTAACTTTACCTTTTGTTCTTGCTGGTCGCGACGATCTTTTTCAAATCTTTGTAAGTTTTGCTCAAATTTCTTGGAATTCTTTATTATCTTTCGCTGTCCATTGCCCATATCAATCTCAAAGCTACAAGATTTCTTCATAACAATCACGGAACCTACTGAACTGACAGCTGCATCCGAGAAAACATCCGATCGAATAATTGGCTTCGGATGTTGTTCTCCACTAAATTTCTCGTGCATTGGATTGACTCGTTGGTTCGTAAAGTCTTTACATAAGCTTTTATTCAAGTTTGTGTTATACTGAGCAACTTTCGATGTTAATGAAGGTATAAATTCATCGTCAAAGATATCTAAAGAGTCATCTGTAAATTGAGGTACACTGAATGATGTATTAATTGCTCGCGGATGTTGATGGTAATAATGTGTAGGCGACTTTGGTGCTGACGAGCCACTTAACACCTTAAAGCTACGTCCATCTAAGCTATCGAATCCATAATTAGAAATGTCACATTTCACTTCATCATTAAAGCGATGCTGATTTTGCATGTAATAATCAAAATAAGTTGAATTGGGGCTTGAACCGTAAGACTTTGAGTCAATATGTCCGATATTCTTTTGCCCTAATTTTCCCTTTTCAAAGAGAATCTCAAGTGGAGCACTTTTACATTCTGATTCGTCCGATAAAATACTCTCCATGCTGTTACAGAAACTTATTGCCTCGCCTGGTGCGCCCCCGCTATAATCATCTGACAAAATACTTTCCTGACTTTTACGATTTGGATAATGACCGAGAAAGAAGCTTGCGCTCGAGTGACGCTGTGTTTCAAGGAACTTCTGCTCATTATGATTATTATCGCTATCATCATTTAGAATATCCGATAATGAAACCTTCCGATTTACGTCAATGCGCTTGTAATAATCCTCATATATGAAATATTCAGAGACGGAACGTTTTGGTGGTGTTGCTTCATACTTTTTATGATGCTTCTTACACGCACCTTTTTTCTTTTTTAAGTACATTGCCTTCTCTTTCTCGTCACAGATGTCCAAATCGAGACTACAATCTTCTAGTGAATCTGAACTAAAATTTCCATCTTCTTCCTCAGATAGGAAGCCATGCTCATGCTTCTCTTTCTTTGCTGTACATTTACTGTCCAAATTATCATCTTTATTGTCATCATTATTGGCAATTTCCTTTGGCACTTGATGATTCTTCAAAATCGATGTCCGCTCTTTCTCTTTCCCAGCTTGACTCGATTTAGGCTCAAACTCATCTAAATCGCCGTACTTTTGTGTAATTTCAGCAATCATACGCTCGGTATCTGATTGTATCATGTCAAGAATTGTTTGTGCATCATCACTATAAAGTGTGTGGCGCTTTTTAGCAATACTAGCAGATCGAGCAGGTGAACCACCCGATTTATATGATTCATTAAATTTAATCTGATTTGCTCGATCAGACACGACCGCCCAATCGAGCTCCTCATGTACTGGCGATACGGGACAGGATTTATAATTCTTTAATATACCTGGATGTTTTCTAAGCTTATCAGGTGGTGGAATTATGGTTGGAATATCAATCTGAACTGTCAGATTTGTTGGACGATGTTGTGGTGATGCATTTGCTGATGACGATTGACCGTAATAATAATGTCCCAAATGACTTGGATATGGTGGATAGTTGTTTTGAATTTGATGAATTAAATGACAATTTTGTGCGATTTTAGCTTTAGGTGCAGCACAATTTAAGAAATTATGATTATAGTGCTGTTGATGATAATTGTATGGTGGTGCTTGAGTTTGGCATGTCGTTGTTGTTGTTATTGGCACAATATTACAGCTATTATTGTTATTATTATTATTATTTATGTTAGTTTCTCCTTTAATTTTGTGTGTGTTTAATTATTTTTGAGGTACATTATAATGGAGTTAGGTGAGATTTAATAGATACATTTTTATTAACAATACAATAAGCAGCATTAAAAATAGAAAAGAGAAAAAAGAACAGAAGATTTTTCTTTGGTTAAATTGTTTCATTGTTTTAAACGACGTTTCGAAATCAATAATTAAGTAAATCATGAGAGGCAGAAACAATAAATTGAAGTGAATGAAATAAAAATGACAATCAACTCCTTTCTAAAATTTACTTTTTGTTTCTATTGATACTTCTTATTGTTGGCTGATTCTTCTGTGAATGAAAATATTATCTTTGCGTGCTAATTAGCAACTCAAATTTTTTGGTATATTAATTTAGCGATTTTTTTCGGTGTTAAGCTGTAAATTATTTGCCATATTTTTGCATTATAGTACTAAATTGTTGAGCAAATAGGAAATTATTATCTGGTTGTAAAATTTGAATCTGATAATTTTTCAATAGCAAAATATGGCATTTGATTTATCGAAATGTCCTTAAAATTTGTCATTTTTTATTTCTGGAATTTATTAACACATTATGAAGCTAAAGACATATTCGAACTCATATTGCTCACATTATTACCATTAAAATGGCTAAGGCTTAACAAAAATCACTTCAGATTGAGCATGCTTGTGCTTCAGCTTGAACATGAACGTCCTAAACGATTACAGTTCTATATTAAGTAAAACAAAAGCAACTCAAAGATGAAATCACAATTAATTATGCCCATTTATGTCTAAAATCAAGATGTGTTAACGAATGAACTGTTAAAAGGAAGTACCTCATTGTATCATGTAATAAGTAGCAATTATTTAAAATAATGTCTCGAGAAGTTCATTACATACATTGTAAGCAAAAGCAGAAGCTCATTTACGTATTCCTCACATGTATAAAGCCTTGATGATGTAAATCATTCCTTAATGTAGTAATTTTCTCAACACAAAATGCCATTATCACTAAATTTTAACACACAGACAATAAATTTCAATCATGAAGAATCAGCTGACACAAAATTACCTTCTACCTACACAAGTGAACTTGAGTGGATGTAAAGAGAGGGTGAATGGAATAAAAACTCATAATATTTTTGTGCAGAATCACCTCAATTAATACCTTTCATCATAATACATCGACATTCTATTTTTAATCCTATCTAATGAATTATCATGTAAATGACTTAAACCTTCATCTTATAATACAATAATTATGAATGGATCAATGATAAAGTGTTAAACGATTAATATGAACAGAAGAAATAATTAAATTAAAGTTCGTGAAACACAAAATATTAAATTAAGTAAATTAAAAGAAAAGTTCAAAAAACTCAAAAAGCGAAAAAATATTCAAATTTTATAAAAGCTCAAGAAATAAAAAATCAACTTACCGACAACTCCACGTAACAGACGCGTTCGAGTATCAGCATTTGCATGACTAAGATCTGAGATACTCTGACTAGCACGTAAACTCGATTTGTAACCAACCTTAAGCATATTTTTTTTTGTGAAATGAAAAGGAAAAGAAAAAAAAAATTAATTGAAGCTTTATTTTTGTGTGGCGTAAAATTTGGATAATTATGATAGTTAATGTTGGTATTTCTAATGATTTTTTTGTACATGAAAGACTGCAAAAACATTTCCAACTTAATTTTATTTTTGCAGTGTTTCTTAATTTACGGAAGAAAGCATAAAATTTGTTTACATAAATTCTGTTTTATGTTTTATATTCATATTATTTGCATTTTTTGATGTGTTAGAAATTATAAGGTTGAGATACTTTTATATATGTTGATTAGTGATCTAAAGAAATAATTTTTTGTCGATTAATTTCCAGATATGCCTTTTACTAATAAACATTTGTGGTTTTTTGAATAAATTAAAAAAAAAAACCAGAGGTCGAAGCGAGCATAGCGAAGCGAGTTTTTAGCGAGTTCGCTTCGCTAAAAATTCAACTTGCTAAAGTCGACCTGTAGCGAGAAATTTTTTTTTCTTTTCGCCTTAGCGACCTATAGCGAACTCAATTTTATTTTTTTCGCTTTAGCGAACTATTAGCGAACTTAATTTTTCAAAGTTCGCTATAGCGAACTATTGGCAAACTAGAAAAAATTTTTTGGCTTCATGTAAAGAGATGTCTGATTGCGTTTGTGAAGTATGTAATTTCATACAAAATTGCAAAAAATTATAGTTCGCCAATAGTTCGCTATAGCGAACTTTGGAAAATTAAGTTCGCTAATAGTTCGCTATAGCGAAAAAAATAAAATTGAGTTCGCTATGGTTCGCTAAGGCGAATAGAAAAAATTTTTTCTCGCTACAGTTCGACTTTGGCAAGTTGAATTTTTAGCGAAGCGAACTTGGCGAACCAAGTTCGCTTCGACCTCTGAAAAAAACAATCAATTTACAACGCAACACCTAAAAAAGTTGATTTACAATCAGCGGTTTGAAGTTAATTGGAAAAATATTGTTATAATGTTTGAAAGTTTTTGCAATCTTAGACTTCGTTCGAAATTATTGGTTTTATTAAGGACGTAGGAATTTTATCATAGAAAATTGTAGATGGTACAACATATCATCGATCGCAGTGCCTTATTCGCGGTGAGCAAATCCTAAATCATATTCTGTTCTATTCTAGATTTCGTTAACTTCGCGGGCCGTTTACTTATTACGTTACGCAAAAAAACGACTCACAACCCTCCCCCTCCCCCCCCCCCCTCTGAACGTTCATAATTTATTTTATTTTGATAAAAAGGTGGAAAATTTTAAAAAATGTTTTTGGTGTGAATTTGTAAACAAATTTTTTTCGTTAATTTTTTTTTGACACCCCCCCCCCCCCTTATGTTACATTTTGTTACAATTTTTCAAACCCCCCCCCCCCCCCCCTAAAATGCGAACGTAATAAATGCACACCTTTGTATCAAGGAATTTGAGCTTCACATTAGCTTTTGTTTAATCAACTAAAAGTATCTTCAGTATAACTTAAAATGAACATTGAAGACTGTCGAATAAAACAAAAAATATTTTGTTGTACCAAACCTTTAACCTTGTTGATTCCGTCAACTGAAAATATGCCTTTGCTATCCATATTTATGTAATTAACTGTTGCTGCCTTTGCTTAACAAACAAGACCTTCTCTGATGATTTATCTTTAGTAAAAGTAATAGCTACAGGTTAAATTGATTGCTGTCCTAAAGATTAAACGATTTTTGTTTTCGATTTGCACATTTTCATTAAATTTGAATAAAAAACTTTTTGTTAAATGAAGCTTGAAAAAGGTTTTTCTAAATCTCTGAAAATATTCATGAAATTAGCCTCAAGCAAGTAATTGAGAAGCTAAGAACATTCAATATTTTTGTAATATCGACGTAAATAAATTATTTTCATTTAAATGCCTCCAAGACAGTATCAATTTCATGATTTTTTTAATTCGATTAACAAAAATTCCAATCAACTTCGTCTCATGTATGAAATGATAAATGATTAATGAGAACAGATAATAGGCGAAATAAATATAATGATGTGATTAGTGAGGAAGTAAAATGAGTAAAAATAAGATAAATGAAGCGAAAATTGCCAAAAAAAAGTTTCACTCTTTTCCCGCTCGTCAGTGTTATTATTAAGTTGAATCTACGACAAAACTATAACAATTGACAATTTGTTGGTTTTAATTTTGCAGCAAAGAAGGAAATTAAAATATACGAAGGTGAAAGATTTATATAAGAAAAAAAAAAATTAAATAAATAAAACTTTTTAAAACGGGAACAAAGAACGCTGAGAATTAAGAGAGCACCATCAACGACCATCAAATCCTCACCTTAATTTTTTGACTTTTATTTGTATTTCTAACATCACGACTATGGTTTGTTATTTCCTAAAAAATGAATTTCGATGGATAAAATGGTAAAATATGATCACTTTGTGGTTGTAGAGTTATTTTTTGGGTATTTTTTTTTCGGTCATTTTGTCTTTCCGATAAATCAGATTCTTTAAAGTTCATTAATAATCAATAAAGGAAGAGAAATAATAAATAAATGAATGTCAATCCAGAAGATAGTATAAGATATATCATGTCGTGGGCTGAATATAAAGATGAAATAATATGAAAGAGACCTCAACTAAATGAAACATTTCGTCATCAATGATGTATTTTTGGATGTCTTATGTGTGACTAAGATAATATTTACATAACAAAAACAAAGTCAGTCGCAAATCAATCGCAAAAGAGTTATGAGCATGGGTGGAGCTAGGAGATACAGAACATCTGATACCTCGGTACACATGCACTAGCAAGCTACTTTGTTTGCATTTATCAAATTTCAATTTTAATAAAAATCCATCATTTGCGATTGACTTAAGCAACGACCATGAATGACATTCATCTCAACTTACATTCTCTAATTTTTGTTTGGCCTCATTGATCACTTTCAGCAACTCCTCTTTCTTGCTGTTTGTATATGATTTGGATAAGCTTGTTGTCTTACTATTATCGATATTGTGCATCGCACTAATACTTTTTCGGCCTACATATGAAGAGAGAAGATAGAGAATCATAATTAGTGGGCATTGTGGGAAAATTGTGTCGAAATGCCGGATTATTATGGTTATAAAATTAGGGGTCAATCCATGCAGTAAGACCTCATAAGTAAATGTCTACCCAATTCTTACACTCACTCTTCTCTTTGTCCTTGGAATGATCTGATAACGATCCAGGACCGTCTAAAGCAACTTGCAGGAATGTCGATGGATGTGGAATAGATTCAGAACTACCGCCAAGTGTTGAGGCAAGACTTCGTTCAGCATTATCGCCGCTCGGTGTCGATGCATCGTCTTCATCATCAGACGTATTTGTTCCCGTGTTAGATGCTGTAACTGCTATTATTTGACTTACACTTAAGCCTTGCTTCTCTAACTTTTGACGTCTTATTGACTTACGTAATTCATCTTCTTTCATCTCGTTGACTTTGAAGTCACTGTTTATTGTGTGTAAAGTAGGAATTAATGCCAATAAAATTGAAAATAATAACAACATATAATTTATATGTCCATTAATTGAATTTAATACTCACGTTGGTGTATTGGAATGTGTAGCTGGATAATAGATCATTCCATGATCTGAGCTCGTTCTCTCACCATCTGAAATGTCCTCGACATCACCATCGTGTTCTGTATTTGATTCCGAATTTAGACTATGCATTTTATTGTGTTCCAGAACGACTTTTGGTGCCATAAATGGATTCTCACGACGATTCTCCATTCCACTATCAATTGAGCTGTCTTCACTGAGATAATTGCTATAGACATCCTTTGAACCACCACTATTGTAGCCCGATGTCGGTGTATTGTTACTTATCATAATATTTGTCGTTGTCTGATTTGGTGTATCAACAATATTTCTTAAATCTAATGTTTCAGCATCAAATTGTCCTCGCTGTGCCCATTTACCGCGTGGTTTCTGATTTATTTGTGGCTGTTCATGTGCCAATGACGATAGTTGAAATTGAGTTCATCAAATAAAATAAAATAAAAGTACTGTAAATATGATTTATTTACCTGATTTTGATTTGGACTTGATCCCATTATTATAGGAGTACTTTCATCAGGTTTCCGTTTGGCCCACATTGGTAGCTGTCCAACTTCTGATAGTTTATATGTTGGCGATGTTTCATCACTGAGAAAATTAGCTGGCGGTGATCCAAACTTTTCCGAATAAGCTTGCTGCTCTATCGGACTATCACTGAATGGATTTGTTGTCAGTTGTCTTGGAATAGATGGTTGTTGGCCGGATCTCATTGCTTGTTGACTCAATCGTGCCTGCATCGTAACAATCATATCATGCGGTACTTGCCAAATGAATATGCATCCATCACCGCTCGCAGATATGAGATGCTTGCAATCATTTGTGAACTTAAGTCCCGTTACCAACTCACTATGTCCATACATCTTTGCCATACATTCACCCGAGTAGTAATCATATACACTTAATGTCTTATCTGTGCATGATGTTGCAATATAAATTCCACTCAGATCTAAACTTAATTTTATCAACGTTCCTTCATCCGAATGTGATCCCTTGAATGTCTTTGTATGTTTGGCATTTTGTGTTCCATAAACACGAATATTTCGATCTTGGCATGCTGTCAAAATATGCTTTGCCGTACTATCCACTTCCATATCATAAAGCGTATTCTTTGCAGAACAATTATTTCCCCTTGTAAATTGATTATTTTGATAATTTCTAAAGATAATCGACTTGTCAGCTCCACATGATATCATTTGAAACTGTAGACCTGAACCGATAAATTTAACTGACGTTATACTACTCGAATGATCATCAAGTGTCTGCAAAATTCGATATCCATTTTCAACATCAAACACGTGAATTAATCTGTCACGACTTGCACTTGCAAGCAATTTACGATCTATTTTATCGTTCGTATATTCTAAGCACAACACCTCCGAGTCGTGTGCTTCAATTGACGTTATAAGTTTTAAAGTGTTGAGATTATAAATTCGAATATTTCCACTACGATCACCAGTTGCTAATTGTCCATAATCAGCACTTACTTTAATACATCTCACTCCGTTTCGTCCGTCGTAGCTTGATGACTTTTCGTTGCTCTGTGTGGGATTGTCTGTGTCCTTTATAAAGTTCATCTCATCATCAATATAAATGACTTTGAGGAGCTCTTTACTGTAGATATTCTTTCGATAAATTTCGTTTGCTTCACATTGCTCAAGACCCCATACACGGATTGTATCGTCAGATGAGCACGTAAGGAAACTATCAGTTGGTAATTTACATTGAACATTTCCATTCTTAAGGAAATTAGATGGCACTGTTTCAACGCCCCATATACACGCTGAATGATAAAGGAAGGAATGACTTTTACCGACACGTCGGATATCCCGTAAATCCCAAATATATAAACTATGATCGTTGTACACGCAACTTACTTTCGATCGGGATTCATCAAAAACAATTGCAATTGTATCGGGATATTTTGAATGTTGGGGTGCGGACATCATATGACTAATTTGAACGCCTTGCGCTACATCTACGCCCAAATAATGTGTTCTTGGCAGTGTCGTTACATACTCTAGCGTTTCCGTATTAAATACTCTAAATTGAGTGAATAAAGACAGAGAATTAAAATCTTGTTATGTAGTTAAATGGCAATTGACCATTAAATTGAGTTATAGCTGGATTTTAAACAAAAATAATAATGAAAATTATTATAATTACCTAATGATTGCATCGGCACAGCCTACAAAAATAAGTTTGGCAGACGCCACCATACAATTAGCCGAAGTCGTTCTACACATGACCCATTTGTCTAATAAACGTCGTGAATTAAATTCCACTAAATGGCCATTTCTTGTGATTGCATATGTGCTATCAATCATATCACCTTTACCGCATGCGACTGCACAAAAATCATTATTACGCAATTCACCCAATATGGCACTTCGACCCATCAATGGAATTGGCTCTTTATACTTTCGTCCACCTTCTAAATACCAATATTTAACATGGCGATTTCCAACAGTTACAAAATAATTTCCATCTTCACTAAATGATACTGCGACGACTTTGGCACTAACTTTATTTGATGCAATCTTAAGATTGCTCTTCCAATCAAATACATTCACAATATTGTCATGCTGTGATCCAACTGATACTAGATATTTGCCGGTTGGTGAGAATGCCTATTGTGAAGAGAAAGAAGGAAGAGAAAATGAAAATTGTTGACTCAAGCAGATTGACCTGAATTTTTATTATTATATTATTATTACAATTCAAAATAACTTAATTTAATAAAGTGAACAAAAAGATGTTTTTTTTTTGATTTATTATGGAAAAATCAAGTCTAGGTGAGATTAAGGAAAAAGCTATTAGAGTTCGAGAAAGTAATTGAAATGTCACAAATGCAGTGTAGCTTTTTTCACACGCTTTTGCTATTTACATGATTGTCAGTTTCAATTAAATTTCTTTAAAATCAATTTTTCGGTCACTTTCAAGTGTCGAATCGATTAAAAATTTACAGCACGTACGTGCTCCACATTATAGTATGACGATCAATGAGAACTATCAACTTTCATTGAGTTAATGCGTTTAATTTTACAATTAAAAATGTCATGTGAAAAAAGCCATGGAAAAATGAAAAATTGAATCCATAGTCTATGATGTAAAGTTTAAATTTAGACAATTAATCATAACAATTCCGGACACAAATTAAATTAGCACAATCTCACTTTTCCACATGATCTGAATGTCAAACGAAGTATATAGCACAAAAAGATAATAAGAACAAAAACATAAGAAACAATTTATCATACCACACAATTGACGGCGTATTTATGACCACTAAATTCTGCAATAACGGTCCCACCAACATTACTTTCATTTCCTGGCGAAAGTTCCAATTCCCAAACTTTTATTGTAGGATTAATGCCCTGTGGATTACAAGAAGAATGAAAGGAAAGAAAAAAATTAAGCACGATGCAATCAATCTTATCAGCAAGTGTTTGTACTTACACATTCTCCCGTTGCGAGATATCGTCCACATTGTGAATATGCAACAGCTGTTATGGCCTTTCGTGATGTATTTAACAGATACGTTTGACTTAATTTCTTTGAATTGAATAAAACCACAGCGCATCTAAACGGAAATGGAAGGAATAAGCGTGAAATTATTAATTTAAATAATTTTAAACGATTAGTCACAAAAGAAATGAACTTTTTTTCAGTTTGAAACGTTAAAGAAGTTGAGCAAGCATTTCATAAATAATAAAAAATTATTGTTATGAACAAGTGTGTAGGAAGATAAGAGCAATGTCAATGCCTGCCTGCGATTTTTGTCTTCAGCGAAAAAATGGATTTTTGAAAAAGTCTGTAACAGCGAAAATAGCGAGCAAGTGAAAATCTCAGGAACATTGTTGTCATTCTCAAGATGGTGTTAGATATTACTAATGCCATCTATGAAGATTTTCAATATAATCGTCGTCACATGTTGGATTCATTCCTAATTCGTATGCTAGCTTAAATTTTTGCAGCAAAACATTTATAAACATAATGGATTAAACATTAAGCAGCTATTTGTATGCTATAACAGGTGGAGGAAGCGCTGTTTATATGCAGATTTTTTTTTTTTGGTTTAGCTAGAATTCTATAATGAAGACATAAGCACTAGAATATTAAAGACATGTCTAGGTTTAATAAAAAATCTAAATTGGATCGAGATTGTATAACTTAAGGTTCTCAAACAGAACAGACTATACACATTTCAGATGAGAGCTGTTTTCAAAACCACAAAACCTTCTAATTAAGTTATTTCACAACCAGCAGTTCAACCACCCAGCACAATTGAATCGCATTTCTTTTGCAAAAATACAAGCTACAAAATTTACTTTTGTCATACAATGTTATGATCTTATTCAAGGTGTTTCCACGTGTTTTCTACTTTCCTGTTCCACACACGATGTTAATGAAATGTTGTCGCTTCATTCTTTTGTACGCACAAAACTTTATGCAAATTCTCTTATTTTTCAAACAAATATTTTCGTTTGATTTTCTATGGATTATTGAAAATTTGTACAAGAATCCATTTTTGGATTGATCAGTCATAAATTTTATTATAATTTTGTGTGATGTCATGTTTGGGTTGCTTCTCATCTCTCCGATAGCTCTATTTTAAGAATGATCTCGATTTATGCAGAACGTTCTAATAGAGATCACAAACGATGATTAATTACGCGTCGTTCAGTCTCTCACTTTTTACACATTTTCCATTCATTCCACTCACACACTTTTCCACGTCTTTTCTCTTTTGCATTTATCGTTTTTTCTCTTTTTTTATGGACTCATTAAAGGCATGAAATTACAATATTTTTTTTTCTTTATATTTCCATTCAAAAGCATGCTGTTGGCTACAAATCAATAATTATGACCTTGAAGCCATCTCTATTTTCTCTGCTGTATGCTACTTTATTCATTAGCATTCAAAATAGACTTGCGATGTCTTGATTTAGGGAAAATTCGATTAAATTGTTACAGCAATAAATAAAAGAAAGAAACTGCTGATTAGAGTTTTGTGTTTTTTGTAGACTTAACAAAATGTATGAGTTTGAGGTTTTATGAATAGAAATTGAGTTAATCGTCTTTAGTTCTTTTTTATTTTTATTCAGAGCACTCGATTATCTAAAATCTTATCTCTTGGCTTTACTCAAGGTGAGAAAAAAATAGGTGGATTTGACAAAAATGTTCTTTCTTGAAGCTTTTTATCTTGAAGATAATCAGTTCATAAGTTTATTTTCAACTCTCAGATTAATAAACCATAAAAATATCAAAACAGACAAACTGCATCTCATATTTTTCACTCCACATTCACTTCATAATGTAATAAAAGCTAAGTCTGAGTCACTAAATCATAAAAATAAATTATTCACCAAATACATTTTTTGTGTTCGATTACAATAAGAAGATTTAGAAAGTAAAGAAAATTTTTGTATGTTCAAAAAAAGAGTGAAAGATGAAATTTGAAATTTAATTGATTTGATACAATTAAGAGAGATTTATAGGCAGGTAGATTGATGAAGATTGTATGTTCAGTAAAGAGAAGAAACGTGTTAATCATTAAAAATTGCATTGTAAATGAACCCTACACTCTAAATTTTTTATATTCATATGTCTACATCGTGGCTATATATCATCATCTTTTTGTTGGTTTGTTGCTTCAAAATTCTACAAACAAATACACGGGTAAAGTAAATTTAATAAAAAATTCATTCGAGAAGTGTGAAGTAACAAAATTAAATTTAAGCATTACGGTAGATTCGCACTTGTACTGTTTGTAATCATAAAACAGAACACTCCAAAATAATTTAATACCAGATTTGAGAATTATTTTTAACAGCACACAGCAGAATTCTGAGTTTATATTTTGAGCATATGAAAAGCAATTGAATGGGTTAGAACAACTGGCGTGTTTGCGCTTTTAAATACAACCGGCAGTTCATTTGTAATTCATCCATTCATAACGATGTGAGGAATATCAATTAAATGAACAGTCAAAAAACATGCGATGATGTTGAATAATTTTGCTGCCTGTTTTTCGTTATTCAGTCGAGTTCAAAGTACGACAGTTGATAAAAGGCCTGTTGCACTTTTTTGCTAATCGCATTGACATTGCAAAATTATTTTTATGGATATCTTATCGAGTTATTTCAGAAGTTTATCATATGACGTTAATAAGAAGTGGTGATAAGGAGGAATTCGTTTGGTGTTTCATGAGTTTATAAATAGACTAAATGGATTTAAGGGTATGTTCACTAGCAGTCTATAATCGGGTGAGAATTAATCAAATTGTTAGACTGGAAGAATTAAATTAGCCACAGCGTGCTAATGAACAGTCTAAAATTATCATTACAAACCCAAGTTTATAGAAAACCGGAAGAATTCTAGGCTGAGAATTCCATAAATATCAAATTACCGATAAATTATTTAGTAAGATCTCGGGAGATAAGGAACTGTTCGAGCTACCTACTACAAAAAATAATGAGAATTTAAAATTAATCGCAATTTTTAAGAAGAAACATGATTAACTACTCTACTAAAAAATTTGGCTGTTGCCTTGTACAAAAAGACTCTTTCGGTATTTAAAATTTATCCACCTCAAAATCGCAGAAAATTACTCTTTTTAATAATAATGGTATAACATTTATAATTTTTTTTGTATGGTCAACATTTATAAATTCAAAATTCTCATTGATTATGTTTTCAAACTGAATCTGAAGAAAATAAATTTTATTCATTAAGATTACTTACCCTGCTGGATAAGCAATTACACCAGTCGTTGGTGAAGCATCTAAACCTGCGCTACTGCACACTGTAAGTCCAATTATTTTCTTGAGCTTTATCTGTAAATAGAGAAATGAGAAAAAAATTAAATTAAAGAGATGAAATCAAAATGAAAAAAAAAAATACAATTTCAAATTATTCAAGGTAAATGAAAAATAGTTTTTATGTCTGAGAGATTATGCAACTTCCATAAATGCGATTTTCATTAAATGTTAAAAGAAAAAAAGAATTAATTCTTTCTTTGTGTTTAGTAGGAGAATAAACACCAGTAAAAGATTTTTATAAAAATGCCTCACAGACAACAATAATAATGATGTAGAGAACCCACGGTGCTTTTTGCATAGCACTGAAAAAATGAAAAGAAATTCCAAGTGAAGAGCTGGATGAAATGAAATAATAAAAAGAATTCAATCAGGCAGGTTCATCAACCTGATTCACTCAACTTATTTTATTGCTTTATATTGTGCGACCAGTGCGCATTAATTAATTAAAGTAGAATTAAATGAAGAAAAAACAAGACTAAGATTGTTCATGACGCCAAGCATTTAATTTACATCAGATGTTCATTCAAGACTTCCGTGATTGTTGTGCAAATAGAAGCCTAGACAAATACAAAATGTAGCATCGGACGGATGAAGGAAGTCGAAAGAATTTTCGGAATTTTAACAAGACGACGATTTCTTTTCGAGGCGCTTTCTAGTAGATCGATAAATTTCCCATATTAAATTCATTAAGCGAGTTGATTAAAAAATTATTTTAGCTTGCAGCATAAAACGGGAGGCAGAAACTAATTAAATTCTTAATCACTTTTTTATATGATTTTCAAAACTCTATAAGAATTGATATGAAAGTCGGCAATTAATAGTTTATAAAGCAGACGAATGTCTGGCAAATATTGAGGTAAAAATGGTCAAGTTTCAATTGATTTTTAGTCAAAATGTATCCGGAAATCTATTTTTACTTTCGTACTTGAATTTAATTTTGGGATCACAGAATTAGCAAGTCTGACGACTCACGTTTCTGAATTTGATATTCACGATGCCAAAAACATCTTATTTTCATCAAACCGCTTAAATGTTTTACTCAGTTTTACTGATTTGCAAATCAAAATCCATTATTTTTGCACCGCAAAACCAAAAGGTTTTCCGCATTACCATAAACAATTGAGTAAAAATCACATTGAGAATCTGTCAGTGCGGATTTCAAGGTTAAAGAAAAGATTTGAATAGAATTTGTCGAATCATTCTTAAAGAAATTTTACAGTGAAAAGGAAATAGTGATGACATGACAGAATGTTTTACAATTTAGTTTGTAAATTCGAAGTTAAATTTGATGAAATTAACAGAAAATTTCTCTTTTTGGAATTTTTGATGGAACAATAAGTAATCTTGCAGTAAATGATCTGTAAATTAAAATCATTTCACGTGTTTCTTTGATGTTATAATAAAATTGTAATTTGTAATTCAACACCGATGCTGTAGATTAACTTTATGATGTAGCTCATAATCATAATAGAGAAATTTGAGAATGAAAACAATTAAATTGTTACAATAGCAATAATTCAACAATAAATAGCACTTGCCATTGATCTGATTTCATTAATGAGTAGGAATTGCATTCAGCACATAATGTGATTATAGGTCATTTAAAAAGATCAAATAAAGGACAATGCTAATTATACAAATATTTCAAATACCTCGATTTACCTCCCAGCACTTAATGAATTTTGATATTAATTTATTTTAAAGTTCACACTGTGATTTCCTTTTATGGCTACAACTTCAATTAATCAAACAGCGATTTATGCCAGAAAATTGCCACATAACATGACTTTTCATACATAATAATATTCACAACATAGTCAAATCGATTTAAGTTTAATTTGTATCAACATTTAACAACCTAATTGATCTCCGCATACAGTTCACCTTTCTATCTCCTTAAAAAATGATTTTTTTTGCATTGCAATTTTTTTTTCGACGCAATGTCTTTTAATGACTCCAATTTACCCACAGTATTTTTACCGTACAAATTATACGCAGTGTTTCTGTGTCAGGTGAATTATAATTCATTTGTTTATATTGTTATACTACAGTTGCTCCAAGCAATTTTCAAACAATCCACCGACAAGGTCGAATTGTGCTTTTGCGGCATGAACATAAAATATATCGAAGATGCGAAGTTAAAAAAAATAATATTCAATAATTTTGCGTTGGTGTTGTTAAATTAATGGAAATAAACTGTGCTGAAAGGTGCAGTTTAAAGATTTTTTTTCCTTAATCCCAATCTAGATCAGCAATTACAATCAATGAAGCGTCCGTGAAGCGATTTTATGAATTCTGTTCACAAATTCCAAACATTATTGGCAACAATTTTTTGTCGAAGCATTCTCATAACTTACATTGACGCTTTATTGACTCGATCGACGGATGATTAAGATTTATAAGTGGGTGGACATTCACAAACAAAGATAAATGCAAATTGAATCGTAAATTTTATACGTGAAAAAATTTACTGTGGCTCAAAAAATAATATTTTAGTTCGAAATAAATAAATAAACAGCTAGGTTAAGTGGACAGGCATACACTACTGTGTGATGCAATCGTATCCATATTGATTTGAGGAGACGAATGCAGCAAAGTCGAATGACAGCATCAGCTTTATTTTGTTTTCTGTGTGTTTATTCCGTTCAAATAAAAATTCAATATTTTTTATTAATAAAAATTCCTAAGATTTTGTCGTAGAAGGAAATTGTCGTTTTAGGATGTCAACAAATAGCAATGTCAATAAAATATGAAATTTTATTTGAGACACAACACTTGATATAGCAACATTAATGTAGTTTATTGTCATTTTTGGTGCAGTTTTATTTTTTATTGTAGATTAATGGCCACAAATGTGTTATACGAGGTGTATAATCTGATCTGCCATAACAATGCTTAACGGTCAAGGACAAATGTGTCATTTACTTTGCACACAAATTATGCACACTTAAACAATTTACACTCTATGAAGTGATTCTCCTAATTGATTTTTTTTGCTAATGGACGATTGTAGAATGAAAGAATAATGTCTAAAAAAAAAACATGAGAGATCACGAACAAATATTGATTTTGATGTCATTTTCTATGAGATAATACAAATTTGTTCCTAAATGAGTTATTAAAATATTTGAACAAATACTTGCGAAATTGTTTGGTTTAAAATGAAGGTCGTGATGCCGCACGACCGAGAATAAAGAATCTTAAATTCTTGAAGATTAGAATATAAATTCTCACATTTTATATTCTAAATAAGCCAACTTATTACTATACTTAACAAAGAAGCAATAAATCTGTCAAGGGAGTGGTGAAAGATTGTCAATTAGACTGCATGCTAAGATCATACATTCAATAATTTTATGCCCCTATTATTCCAGCTCTCAAACAATAAAAAGAAAAATAAAAACTATCGCAAAATGTCTTTGAAAAACATAAAAAGTATTTTCGCAATTTTGCATTTCATTCACGATCAACAATAAATTAGCTTAAAAAAGCAATCATAAATTTGATGGGTTGTGAAATTCATCAAGACTAGACAAAAACCATTCGCATTGGAAGAAAGCACTCAAATGTTTCCATTAATTTACTAATTTAAAAATGAATACCATGAGTTTGAAGTTTTCAAGTATGGCTGGAATTGCTAATTTCGTCTTTAATACCCATTAACCTCTTATTGTCCACTCAACAAAACATGCACAAGAAATAACAAGTTGTTTCCAAAATGAAACTCCAAAAAAACTTCATAATTAGGAAAAAAGTTGAGGCTTATTAGCATCTTACAAGCATATTTTTTTTTTTGAAAACCGCCATCATAACTAAAAAGCTAGCTATCGCTATGATAAACTCATGCAGTTATTTATGTAGGACAGTTGAGTGTCAAACACATCATTTAACCGCAATCAACTCAAAGCATAATGCATTATAACGTTGAACCATTAGATGGAAGTGGAGAAACATGTGAGAGACCTCCATTCAGTCGACCATAAATCATAAAACTACAGAGCAAATTGGCATCATAAAAAAATATTTTAAAAAGAAATGGAGTGAAATGAAAGAGAGAGGGAGATTCCAACACGCGCTATATGAACTTACGTTCTAAATAAGTCTTGTAAAGCATTTCATGCTCATTTTATCTCTTCTCGTTCCCTTTCCATTTACATATTTTCTATTCAACTAATATGTGCTTTTATTTTTCTTATGTTTACGTGTTTATATGTGAATTTCTGACATTATGGGACATCGTTGTACAATGGAAGTTCAGCTGTTCAAGAATAGAAGCTGAGTTGTTAAATTTGAGAATGAAAATGTCCAATTAAATTAATTCTGCTTTAGGGTGTGACAATTTATGGATCTTTGTATGCAAAGAGTTTACATTTATAACCTTTTGGAAGAAGCCTAAGATGACTTTGAGGTAGTCATAAGTTTCTGAAGTATTTCGCATATTTTGTGTCGAACAGTGAACAATATGAGATAAAATAAGTGAGTTTTTGAGAGATGTGGACTAGCTTGTGCTTACTTGTTATCCGATTCAGTACAGCTAATGGCACAATTAATTCAAAGAACTATCTCTTGTCAAGAAAAACATTAATGCAATTAATTTATCCTACATCTGCTCTTTAAATCTTATGTCATCGATACTTTCAATATTTCATAGATCTCAATACTTTCATTTTCCTTTTACTTTCATACTCCCTACGAGCTTCCACTCCTGACACCACCCGTCTAATGCAACACAATAAAATATGTATTGAAATTGCTGTAATCAACCCATTTGGATCTCATTCTTTCTTCATCTAACACACCAGCTGACCTTACACAACAAGCCAATTTTCAAACAAGATATTAGTATATTTATCGGACATGAGAGAAAGTTCGGAGAACACAAAGAGTAATGAGACACATCAAAGAGATGTGCTTTTGGCAATAGCAATAGTTTCTCTATCATTTAACGTTAATCATGCACTATTTTTTTACACACGAAATTATGAATAAGAAGATTTTATATTTCGTGAATAGACCAAGGGTCAGACACTCCAACAGAATTGTAAAGATTGTACAATTCTTCACAATCCATATGGAAGAATTGTAAAGATTGTACAATCCTTACAATCCTTACAATCTTTATATGAGAAGGATTGTAGGGATTGTAATCCGTACAATCCTTATATGGAAAGGATTGTAAAGATTGTAATTCTTACAATCCTTTCCATATAAAGATTGTAAGGATGAAATAAATGTATGGAACATTTAAAAATGTTTTTCATTGGTTATTAGAGAAGAAATATTAATTTAATATTAAAAATTTATTTGTTTGAATTTAAAGAACGAAATAAACTTGATATATCAATTCTGTCCGTTGTAAAACTACGCAGATGGTCGGACGCCCTAAACCAGGGTGATTTAAATCAAAAATCAAAATCAAAATCTTTTTGCAATGATTTTAAAGGTTGATTTAAATCTCTTGTATGAAAGATTTTATTGGGATTTTAAAATCCCTCCATGCAAGATTTTTGTTTTCAATTTTTCAAATTATTTTTCAAATCAACAGTTTTCAGTTGCAGTTCCTAATAAGTAAGAATGCAGTTGATCCTTTTTTGGCCTGAATCTTGCAACTGGATCTTTTAGATCCAAATATTTCTTAATTAATGGTTACAGCAATGGTTCCATGCTGTTTGACTTAAACGAAATCCAATTTGTGATTTTTTATCTTCTGTGCCTTGCTGCTTGCATATAAACAACTGGACTTCATCAAGCATGCCTGGATCTTCCTTTATATGAGGATTTACATGCTTTAAATCCTTTAAAAAACTTAAATATATTTCATTACACCACATTAGTTTAATGAGTCATAAGCAAGAATAGGCACTTGAACTGCCTAGTTCCTTTACATCCACAAAAAAATTTTTTTTTGTTGCTTTTTCATCAAAGATTCACCTCTTGAAATCAAAATTTTTTTGCGGAAATGGCCGGTTCCTTTCGTACATCAAGGCACAGAAGATAAAAAATCACGAATTGGATTTCGTTTCAGTCAAACAGCATGGAACCATTGGTTGCTGTAACCTTTCTTTAAGAACTGCTTGAATCTAAAAGATCCAGTTGCAAGATTCTGGCCAAAAAATGATCAACTGCATTCTTATTTTAGGAACTGCAACTGAAAACTGTTGATTTGAAAAATAATTTGAAAAATTGAATACAAAAATTTTACATCGAGGGATTTTAAAATCCCAATAAAATCGTTCATACAAGAGATTTAAATCAAAATCCCAAAAAAAAAAAATCCCCATACAAAAATGATTTAAATCAAAATTTCTTTTAAAAATCATTGCAAAAAGATTTTGATTTTGATTTTTGATTTAAATCACTCACCCTGTTCACCGGTGTAAAAATTATACTTTTTACAACTTTTTAATGAGTTGAAATGTATAAAAAATCATTCGAATTGATTCACGGTCAGAGTTTGAAAATAAAATGAAAATTGCTCTATTTTGAAAATAAATCAAAATGAAAATTATGAAAATTGCCAATTTTGATCAAAGCAATTTTGCAATTTTGTCAATTTCAGAAAATTGTTATTTTGGAAATTGTTTATTTTCGAAAATTGCAATTTTGGAAATTATCAATTTTCAATTTTGTGACGTCACAAAATTTCTTCGGGAATTTTGTATGAAAATTTTCATATGAATTGATGACTTTATGCTTGAGACTTTCCTTGATTTTTAATCAAAACCATTATGAGCAATCATAGCAGCAAATGATGAAAATTAATAACGAATCATAAGTACTATGCTATATGAGATATCCCATATGGAACTGGTTTTGTCCAACTGACTGGAACTGCCAAAAAAAATTTTATTTGTTTTCTATACTTTTTAGACACTTTCAGAGGAGGTTCCAAAAAAACAGGTTAGCAAAAAAGTTCGGAAAATTCAGCAGTTCCTCTCCCCTAATAAAATTTACATCAAACATGTTTTTCATACATTTTCAGAAATGAATTTTTTTTTTGATAATCATGTTTGTATGGTGATGCAGCATTATGAGTACCTTTAATTTAAAATAAACTTAAAGGAACAACGCATCAAACACGCAGGAATTAGCAAGTATTAAGTTAAAAACGAATATCAACATCCAGGAAATAAACTGTATCTTTTGTTTTTCTGAAGAAAAAATTCATTTAAAAAGAAGAAAATTTTCATACAAAATTATTCATCAAATATTTATGACGTCACAAAAATAAAAATTGATAATTTCCAAAATTGCAATTTTGGAAAATAAACAATTTCCAAAATTGCAATTTTCTGAAATTGACGAAATTGCTTTGATCAGAATTGGCAATTTTCATAATTTTCATTTTGATTTATTTTCAAAATAGAGCAATTTTCATTTTATTTTCAAACTCTGTTCACGGTAAATTATTGCATTTTATATATAATTGTTTTCAAAGAAATTTCTGACTTTCTTCATTTTTTGTATTTTATCTTATTTTTTAAAAATAAATGGACATTGTTTTTTGTTTAGTAAGGATTGTACAATCCTTACAATCCTCACATAGAAAGATTGTAGGAATTGTACAATCCTTACAATCCTTATATGAAAAGGATTGTAGGGATTGTAAGGATTGTACAATCCTCACAATTCGTATGGAAGGATTGTAAGGATTGTACAATCCTTAAAATTCTGTTGGAGTGTCTGACCCTTGGAATAGACGTCTGATGCGGCGAACAATGGAGCTTATTTTAATTTAATATCTTCCTTTTTTATCAATTTCGCACTATGCGATTGCACGATGTGTATAAAAGGCAAATTGATGATAACTTCTTGAATTTTAAAATTGAAAAACGTGGAGAGAGAAACAAAAATAAGTTTCTTACTACGATTGACGCAATCTCATGTGGCTTGTGTTTCGAAATGTCACTATTGTCGTCTTTCTTTTATTATTTTCTACGTTCTTTTCTTTAATATGAAACAGAGAAGAAAAAAAGTTATTTGCAAATTTTCTCATTTTAGTGTCTCTCCCTCTTTTTATTGTCGTCGTATTGATTACATCATTTGTTTCTAGAGTTTCATTATTTTCCTTTTTCTATCTTTTTTAGTCTCTTGCTCCATTCTTACATAAAAAGACAAGAGAAATGAATTTATTTTTGGAAGGAGGGAAAGAAGGTAGAATTGTTTTGTTTATTTTATGTGGGATTAAGTGCTAATGTAATTAAAATCTTTTTTAAATTGTAAGAATTGAAAGACTTCCTTGTAAAAATGTTGTAAGAAATTAGCATCTTAGATTGCTCTTGTGGCTGTTAAATGATGTGGCTTAATAGCTTCACTATGAGATTTAATTTTCCTAATAAATTCTAGAAAGTCATTGTCTACTTCAGTTGATTATTTATTGATCATGGCCTAACGAGACCCACTTTCTATTCTCCATCGACACTGAGCAAACGATCGGTCAATTAATGTTAAGTCTCCATTAAATGCCTTGAACTTGAATCTATTTTTTTGTAACACAATTAAGTTCCTTAATGAACTAAACCAACAGTAATGATGATGTTCTTTTACTACAAGGAAACCACAAGACAACAATTCGGGTCTAACGAGATGTTGACTTATCACTACATTGTCATTTGACATTTCAGGGTAGAATTCTATTTTTGCATAACTTGATGTTTTTAACCCAAAAAAAGATTTTTTTTTCAATCTTATCAAATAATCTGTCAGATGTTTGTTCAGATAAAAATGTATTGTGATCTTTTGACAATTTTTTCTCTTGAAAGGATAAAGGTGTGCCTATACAGAAGCCAGTTTCATTCATAATAAATTGAACAAACACGTTTTTGTCATTCAGGAAATTCAATCAAGAATGAGAGACATTTTATTAAAATAAACATGAGAGTTAAAATTGAGGAATGCAGTTGATGACGTTTTTGGAAGGTTTGTCAGTGGTATAACTCAAATTAGAATTAAGCGGTATGATAGACAACAAAGCACTTAGAATAATGAAATGACCACACAATCTACAAGCAAAAACTGCAAAACTTGATGAGTCGCAATCAAAATGTAAGATCAACAAAACAAAATATTGATTGAAGTTTTAAAGCAATCGTTATTTATTCCATAGCCTCCCCCTGATCCATTAATTCAATCAAGCACATTCTAATAAAATCATTCTGAGGGTCGAAGATGTTTTTAAGTCTCTCGCGTGGGTGCAATTTTCATTACTACTCTCAAAAAATCATCAAAAAATTATTAAGACTTAATTGACTGGTTTGATTCACCTCTTCAAGATTTATTAAGAAGCTTTTAAACTTTCCAAAGGTGATGCAAGGTGAATCTGAGGTAGACAATAAATATTCAAGACACATACATGCGCCTCCATTAAATCAAGGACAAAAATCAATCAGATGCTTACGTTTCAAAGTTGATTCTAATGGGCTTATGATTAGTTATTTTGTGAGCAATTACAGTCATTAGACTTAAAGCATATTAAACGAGAATTGATCATAATCAAGGGGATTTAATTGAAATTTCTAACTCATTGATCGTGAACGTTAAAGACATTGAGCATTGAATTATTTGGACAATACGTAATAAAAACAAAAGACGCTTTGTCATATTTTTGTCGATTGTTCTTTTCATTAATTTTCACTTTTACGATGAAAACATTGAGCAATTTAAAATTTTAAATCCGTAAATATTGACACTGAATAAGTGAATTTTGTAATAAAATTTAAATTCTTTACCTGATATGCAGCGAGATCATCGTGATGATGTGTCAAGTAACTCATCGGAGGTGAAGAGTTTCTCGGTGCAAACATTTTGATTTAACATTTAAAATAACTACAAATAAATATTAACTCGTTTGATGATAACACAAAGTTCTTGTTTCTCCGTTGTTTATGTAATTAATTAATTCAATGTTATTAACACAACAAAAATTAGCATTCAACACTGAGATTGTTGTCTTCTTTATTAATGAACTTAATCTGTTAAATAATTCGTAAGCAAAAAAAATGTTTCTGTTTTTGTCTCTCAAAATATTTTTTTTTTCTTTACGTAAGTTTTTTTTTATATTTTCGATTTTTTTTATTCTCAGTTAAGGTCACATCATTTTATAGCAGCAGAATCCACTTTGAATCCGGTTCTTTTCTTCTTTAATTTGTTTATTAGATTATAACAGAATACTTTTTTGCCTTCTGTTGGTCGGCGGTGACGATATAGGTAGAGAGAAAAAATGAAATGATTTGAATTTGTCGTGTGGCTTATCATTAAGAAATAATTTGAATATCCAGCAGAATAATTAATAAAAGATGAATTTTTTAAGGTTTAAGATTCTTTAAAATTCCTCATTAAAAATGCTCGATTAAGAAAATCTTTTTTGGAATGTTAAGAACTTCAAGAATAAAGTTATTGGTTGAGATGAGTGCTTTATGAGGTTTTTGACTGTTAGACCGACTTTGTTTGGACAACAATAATTAATGCAGTTTATTAGAATTTCAAAAATTTTAATAAAATTTTGGCTAAACAAGAATGAACGTTGAATTCTTAGAGATATCCCAAAAAGTGTCATTAGCGCAGCATGAAGCATTGACTCTATCAAATATTAGCCAAAAAAATCTTCAATTAATGCAAAAATATTTTTTTCTTCGTTTCATCATTGATTGAATTGACGTTGGCAGCAAAATCAATAATTTAATCAGTTTCGCATTTTGAAAGATCAAAAACAAACTTATCTTGACGTACAGAAAATATTTCAACAGAAATATCTGATAAATTTTCAATAAAATATATGCGAAAATCATGTAAATTTTTAACCAAATCTGTGTTTTTGCAATAATCATACAAAACAGAATCATTCATAAAAGTTATGACAAAATATATTATGCAAATGCAGATCACGTAACACTCTAATTCTAAAGATGAGTTTTGAGTTTCTTTCCATCAAAATTTTCATTCGAATGACTTTTGTTTTGTCTTCTTATTTTGCTTATCATAATAAAAATTGCTGTGCCTTTTTCGCCCAAAAAAAGACTTTTTCTATTTCGCTCTGTATTTCTACTAAATTAACTTAGAAACAACTTCTTAACTGTAAACTTTTTATAAATTCAGAAGTAATTCTCCGTAAGAAATCTGAGAATACATTTGTGAAAGCTTAATTTGCATGAAACAAATCCACACAAAAACTTCATTAATCTCGTAAAATAAAGATTTTATCTAATAATATTGGTCTCCTTTTGATATTCTTCTCATAATGACTTAATATTATTTTTGACAAGAAAGTCACTTGACTCGAGATAAAAAGGTTTCTGTCAGTTGAAAGATCACAAATCAAAAAAATAATGCCTTCAATTACCAAAAACAAACATTAATTGACCTAAATCATCCTCTTTTGAAAAGAAGATAAATTAGTTTACCCTTTTTTGAGGAGCCTTTAATTAAAACTCAAAGAAAAATTCGCGAAAAAAAGGAATAATAAAAAGAAAAGTGATTATTTATGATTTTAACGAGATGATTTCATGCAAGAAAGAAGAAAAATTATAATAAAAAAGCACAATTCAACGAAATATACATAACACATAAACAGTAGCGCAAGAAAAATGCGATAAAATTTTTTTAAGCATGCAAAAATTATCCAATTTTCCGTAACCGAATGAAAAATGAATATCTACATAAGTAAAATTGTAAAGATGGAGAAGAAAATACAACAATTGAATCATGTCGACGAGTTTTTCTTTTAGCTTTATTTATGTGTGGAAAGCAATGGTGTAAAAATTTTGAATATTGATAATGTATTCAATTTTAACTATCGATACAATCAATAAAGTAGAAAGAAAAATAATACAAAAAAGTTTTTTATTTGCTGTTGTTGTTGTTTATCTCAAGTAGTACATTTTTTCAGCAATTCGGCTTTCGCGATCTATTGTTACTTAAACTCTTACTTCAAAGTTTGTGGCTCTGCGATCGAATCGAAGAAATTGGAAATTGAGAAAGTATTTGGTGAAATATAATAAATCTAACAAATAAATGAAATATTTAATCGACTTAAAAACACTTATTGCTGTTGCTTTTGTACTTTGAGTACATTTCTAATATTGCAATTGAACTATTGCCTTTAGATTCATGGGTGCTTAAGGCAACAAATGATTTTTCATCGAGACAATTTTGAAGAATTTATGAGAAATTAGATTAATATGAATCAACAAGGTTTGCAGGCATAGAAGTCATTTGCTTGTGTCACGAGTTTCATGCGATGAAGCTCGAAATGTAAGTTTCTGTTCAGCAGAGCTGATGTAAAGATTTCTGTGAAACACATTAATTTAATTAAGCTTGAAATTTCTCGTAAATCTGCCCATAAACCGAACAATTAAATCCCCTAACCATGCCTATACTTATGTGTCATGCATTTGAAATCCGTAAAATAAAAAATTTTTCTTTATACTGCAGAGCTTTTTTCATAGAAATAATCCAAAAAGTAAACATACAAGTAAGAGATATATTTGTACATAAAAAAAATACATAATCAATAATACACAATTGTATGCGATGAAAATTGCCCGGAATTAGAAAATTTAAAAAAAAAAGATTTCTTTACAGGCCATTTGTGGATCGCGACATACATTTTATTTTACTTCAATCTCCTCCTTCCTCATATTCTCTCTTATGTAGCATTAATTTTGTTTCTTACTTCTTTGTTCCTCTCTCACACATTTTTATCCATCCATGCATCATTTTTCACGATGAAGCATGTGAGACACATGTTAACATAATGTTGATGAATTTCTCTATATGGATTTTGCCATGCTGCTGCATATGATAGACCATGCTAAAAGGTTTTTTAAGTATATCTTTTTTGTCGAATGAGAAAAACAACAAAAATCGCTTTTTTCAAATTAATATTACAAAAATGCATGAAAATCACTGTCATGATATGGCGGATCATTCATTCATTCCATTCCAAAATAGCACCATTTATGGCTGATGTTAGTTATTGAATAGTAAAAAACATTTTTTTTTTGATTCATAAATCGGTTACGGCAGTACAGAGTTGACAATCCATAGAAATTTAATGACAGCTGCTCTATAGCATGCTGATGGCATTTATGGTCAACAACATTTTTAACAATTTTACCTCTCATTCAAAAATGATGAAATATTTGCCACTAATCGACTTTTGATAGTTAAAATCCAACTCTGTAGTGTGAAGAGAAAAAAATACTTGAAATGGCATGTTGCCGAGTTGATTCCAACAATGGAATTCATAATGGGCAAGTATTGCAAATATATCAAAAATGTATAATATCTAAGTAGGCAGCAGCCGCAGCAGTAACATTAATATCGATTAAGTAACATTTAAACTATTGTAACTTATTATTTTTATATTATTAAATGAATTTATGCATTCCTCTGCAATGCCAAATGAGTCAAAAAGTTTAATTATTCGAAAACGGAATTCCGCAAACAATGAGTGAAAGAGAGAAAGAATGTTGGATGACGTTGATGAAGAAGTGGAAAAAATTTGAAGTGAAAAACTATGTTAGCATTTTAGATATGAGAATTTCATCAGATATTTCTGAAGTTCTAATGCAAAACTTTTCTGTGTGATTGCAAAATAAGCATTAAATTAGTTTTTCACGACAAATTACAAAACTCTGTGTAACAGCTTTTGAATCTTGACAAAAATCTACTTAATATTTAGAAGAATGTCAGATATGCCAATAAAAAAATTTAATGATACTTTTAATCACTCACTTCATATTTTGAAATGAGCCTTTTTGACATGCCGAACAACAACTTTCATTCATAAAATGTTGCAAATATCGAACAAATCACGAACCTCATGTACGAGTCGTGAACCTTAAATTGATATTTTAAAGATTATCAAGTCAAGAATTTACGAGGAAATCCCTGAGAATTATTTCAAAGGAAATCTCAAATCAGGTTTGAGAAACTTGCTTGAAATATTTTTGACAGTTTCGCACAAATTGTCGCATGACATCACCGTTGGGGCGAATATAAACAACTATGTCTGTAAATTAAATTTACAATCATTTAAAAGCCATTAAAATTATTTTTTAAATCAAGACTTGTGGAATCTTAAGTAACATCAACAACTGTATTTAATTAACTATCCCTTATTACGGGGGTCGTCAACATATGACGTTCATCATGAAATGGGATTTTCGAACCCCCCTTTTTCATTAAAGGAATAAAGTTTAAATTTAAATATAATAATTTTTCTAGAATCAAGCAAAATTCAACATTCGATAAAATCCAAATAAATGATGGACATCACTTAAGAATGAGCCCTTTACAACTTATCAATCAATTTATCTCTTTAAATATTTTTTATTCTGCTGTAATTTTCAAATTAAAATTTCTCTTCTTTCCAACTGTGTGCATCGACTAATGATGGTTACATCCAAAATCATTAATAATAAAGAAGAAGAAATAAAAGATTTTTTTTTGTGAATCTAACTGCAAATATTTACACACTGCAATGCTCAATTTTCGACACTCAATGTTCACAATTTTTATATATATTTTTTTTCTATTTCTTTTTATTGACTTTCGTTTATTTCTTTTTTTTTCACTCAATTCTTTACTTTATTGTACTTCAACTCTAAGCAAGCATTAACCTATATATTTACTTGGCACTGCTTGATGATTATTGAATATTAATAAAAAAGACCAGAGAGATAACATTAATAACAATAATGCACTTTGTCGTTAACATAAATTTTTTTAATGCTCCTTTCTATTAACAAGTTGAGATGAAAGTTTTAACACGAAATTCAGTAAAAATAAAAAAAAATCTTCTCATTCGAGCGAGAGCGACAAATTCGAATCGAAGTTCAACTTGATCCGCTTAATGTAACCGTTAAACTGAAACTCGTTTCATGTCTTCTAGCGCTCTGCGGCTCTCTTGAAAACTTTTGTGTTTTTGTATTCAGTTTTGCTTGTAAACTTCTTTTACATTTGTATTTATGGTATATTTATGCGTGTATAATGTTAAAAGCTCTTCAGGTAAGAAGCAGTTCTCTCTCACTCATATATTCATTACTGCTGTATTGTATTACACGTTTATTGAATGCTCTACTATAGAGCGCATTACACATATTCAAGAATCAACAAAAGACCGAAAAAATAAAAATATTACACAATTGTGGTTGTGTTAAAAAAAATAAATGAAAATGAATTTAAGAGATTTTTAATAATGAAATATTCAGAAGAGATAGAGAAAGAAAGAAACAGCAAAAAAATGTACATATGAATTAAAAACGTGTCATGACAGGGTTGCCGAAATATTCATTGCATGTGTGTACTTTAAGGAAATATGAGAAATAGAACAAATAGAATTGGCAATGAAAGCTCTCGACTCTATTGAATAAAAATTTATTCTTTCTCTTTTTTTGGCATCATGACCTACACAGCCAGCACTATTGTATTAAGACACGGTCAAAATACAGATGGCGCTTATTATTAGAAGAATTAAGTCATGAGAATAAATAAACTTATATTTCATTAACAGATTCATATGAATATTTGAGATCATACGTAATTCTCTTCCATTTTCGTCGATTTTAAGTATACAAAGCTGTGTGATTTTTTTTTTATAACTTAATAGCACCATTAAGCTTCTAACACATTAAATATGAATATTGTTTTGTCTAATGAAAATTATTTGAGACGAAAAAAATAGTCGTGACATGATTAAGTGAGAAGATGCTGCTATCTAATAAAATAACAACAGTCAATGTCAATTCATCTTCCAAAGCTTCAATTAAAAGCTTTGTAATTATTTTACAGCAATTAAGCTCTTTTTGTTATTCTATCACGAATGTGAGGTAAAGAGAATGGATATAAATCGTTTAGGTCGTCATTTTAAATTAAGAAATCACTTCTTTTTACATAGCACATGGTTTATTCAGTTATTCATTGACTTCAGAAGTTAATTGTAAATTCATAACGAAGTACTTTATTAGTTTGCGGTTTTTGCATTTAATTTTGTGTTTTTTTTTCTTGCATTTTTACAAACCAACTACCAGGAAACAGTTCTTTAAAAAAGTTTATTTGATTGATTGCGAATAAATTACGAAATATTGTACTTTCCGAAATACAGAAATTAAAGATATTATAGGGGCAAGTGCTTTTGAAAATTATAATTTAATTTGAGGAAGTCAATTGCATTTATATAGGGATAAGAACTGACTTTAGTGGACATTCTATGGGTGTGTCCAAGGGGTTGGTTGACGTTTGTACAGAAATTATTTACAAAGCTCAATAAACAATTTTAAGCTACACCGCTAGATACCTCGAAAGCCAAATCCTCTCAAACAGACTTACATCCTTATTAAATAAACAAGATAAGAAACAATCTCATGTTCATATCCATGGAGTCATCCACCTACGACGTAACTGGAAAAATATAGCTTCATATTTCATTTTAAAGAAAGCAAAAGTTCAAATATGTCTACATTCATCATCCAAATTCAAATTTCACTAATGCCTTTAATACATTTCACATATGTCAAAATGAAAACCTTAATTAGAGAAAACGACAGCCACTCAGCAATAGCAAAATTTAATATGAAAGTAAAGTAAATTAAATTGAAGAACACGGAAAGATAAGTAAGATCCAGTTTGGTATTTGCTCGTTCGTGCGATTAAATTAGCAGTGATTATACATTAATCTCATCGGCAAAGGCAAAAAAAATAATCGCACATATGAAAGAAGAGTAGTTAGAGGTGATATTAGTGCGGAAGTGTGACATAAATGGCAATATATATATGGTAAGGTAACTACTTCTTATGTATGCATCATCATCATTAATGATCTTAATGAATTTTAGCGGCAAAATACCCATAAAAACTTTGTATTATGTATAGTGGAAAAAAATAAGGCAATAGATGAGGGAAAAAGAGATCATAAGCAGTTTTAATTATTAAGCCATTACTGGATGAGATTATAGTGGATATACATGCATAGCTCCATCCATGGAATTAATTTTAAGGCAAGAGAAGAGAAGTTTACGTAATAACACTGCATGCTCAACACACAGACGATTGCACCAAACTAGATTATTGTTGCCATTTTTCACTTAATAAAATTTTTATTTTAATTTCATGCCAGAAAAATAATATTGTAACAAGATGTATTATAACATTGAGGTCAAATAAGACTCGACACAAGAAAAATAGATTTTTTTGGGTGTTTGCTACAAATACATAGGAAATGGAATCAAGCCATTGATTTGCAATCTGTATGCACTACGGAAGTTAGAGAGTATTTCTTGTTTTCCTCTTCCTTTCTATTTTAATACTTATTCTTGTCGAATATTATTACCATTTATGATCTGACATTTTTGCATATTACCTTATACGTAGCCTTAATACTCTAGCACTTGAAGCATCAACATTTGCAAAAAAGTTGCTAGTTTCTGTCAATGGAATCTTCATTAAGAAAGAATAAGGTGGGAAAAACAGGTGAGTAACTAAGAGTATAGAGGCGCTTATTGTGTTTATGAAAATTGAAATAAACTTTATATTTTCAGACCTTATGATCCAAAGCTGCACGTAATGTATGCGTTACAAGACAAGTAGTTGTTTAATCAATGAGTTTTCTTCAGACCTCGGATTTCAAACCTTTTTACGCTTTTTAAAGTACGATCCAAAACATTGTGTCTACATCATTGTCAAATTATTAACTTAAGTATTTAAACATAATCATTATCCAAATTGATAAAAGCTATGAAGCAGCTGATTCGAAAGATTTAGCATTCTATATCTTTATTAGATCGTTCAATAATAAAAACACATAAAATTTTATGGAGAAACTCAACACGTGTAATTCGAGCGTAAAAAAAAATGAAGCAGTAAATGTGAATAATAAATAAATTATCTCACATTATTAGAACCAGTAGCATAATGTTATTTTTATCAGTCAATGTTCTTTCTATCACAGTTAAATAAACAGCAATCAATGCCAATGTCACAAATGAATTATTATTCAAGCCCAAAGTGAAAACATTTTGTCGAAAAAATTTGCACATCACAAATAGCAAATCATAAGCTTAAGTAAATATTGACAGATTTCGCGTTTTGTTTGTTTCTTTATTCAATATTTCGACACAACGAAGGAAGCCTTTTTTTTTACCGACTGACCTTGAAAGATGTTACTTAAAATATTTCTATGTATTTTTCCCATTTCTGTACACCTTATGGACATTTAAAATTGTCTATTGCACACACATATGATGAAGACTTAACTCAAAAAAATATCTTTTGATAATAGAAATAATTTAGTCATCGCCACTCATCTCATTTGTTTGCCTTTTTTTGTCCGATAATTAAATGATTCGACAAAACGATCTTTTATTGTAACGCAATTTGAATTTTGAGTCAAAAAGGTAAAAAAGTGTAAAAATGGATAGTATTCAAATCTGTTTAATCATTAGCCAGGAGTATTTGAAGCCCACCCGTATATTTTTACTGTATTATTAACAAATTTTTATTCACTGATCATTAAAATGGCTATTAAATTCCTTTCGAGCTTCTATAAGAGATTCTCAATCAATCATTCAGACAGCGGCCGAGTTACAACAGCGACAACAAAAATAATTCTATATTTGTTACGGATTTGTGGGTGGATAAAAATGATGATAATTTTTATATTATCGAATGAGCTCATTCAGCCATCTTTAACAACTCGTAATAACTGTAATAATGTGAAGTAAACGAAGACTCATTGAGAAATTGATACACAAAAGTTCAACATGTAATAAAACACTAATCAAATCACACTCTAATGGTCAGTTGACACCTCGTCATCACCATATTACACACCATTGTTAGGATATTTAATATTCGCATACATTATTCACGAATATGTTGAATGTGGAATTAAATTATTGTCAAAAGCTGTAAACACACATTTCACACTATCATGGTCAAAACGAATGAATATATCAGCTATAAAATAATTTTTGCGATATAGTCTAATCTAAATTTGATCTTATACACCTCCAATGAATTGTGAATAAGAGAAATATTTTTGTGGATTAAGAAAACAAAAATATCAAATAAAATTATAATGATACACGAGGAAACTATAAATGTTTTTGTAAATTGTTCATTGCTTCCAGTTGGAGGATTAATAGCTTGCGGTATGGAATTTCTGATAAAATCAAAACAATATGAAATGATAAATTCATTACATGACTGAGTGGTAAAGAGAATGGTGTGTTGTGTGTAAATTGGTAATGTAGGAATAAATAGAGGTTCTAATATTGATGAAGATAGAAAATTGTAACAAGTACTTGGGGTCCTTGATTTGAGTAGTAATTCATTGCTGAAAAATCATTCTCAAATCGAGGACACCCAGAAGATGAATACTTAGCCTTTTTACTACTAAATCTCCTCAAAATGTTACATTATCAAATTTAAAAAATTATGCAAAATATTGTCACTCATTAAAATAATTTCACCGCTCATAGAGTTCACTAATTTCCCCCAAATGTCGAGATTGTTTCTAATGTTTCAATTATCACTGTGTTATTTTATGCAAACTACAAATAGGCGACTTGTCTAATAATCACGGAAATAATTCGTTTATCAAGAAAGCTTTTATGTAGAAATTGAAAAAAAAAAAAAAGCCAATTTATCGCTTAGCAGAGTTGTTGTTAGACAAAAGCCATAAATTATCAATAAATTTTTCTATAATCACTTAATTAAGGTATAAGCAATTGAATATCACTAAATATCGATCGTACAGTTTGCATGAATTGTTCAACCTTGGAACCCCTAGCCACCAAACAAAATCGATCATATTTATTTCAATGAACTTCACACTTATTTATTTCTCCAACAATGTAAGTAACATTCAATAAATTTTCTTATTTGATCGAAAGTAGTTAATTTTTCTTTTTCCATTGTTAAAGAAATAATATCATTGGAGTGAATCACAAAATAATAAAGAGAGAAAAATAAAATTGAAAGAAATCGAGCGAGAAAAATTCTTTAAGATAATCTCATGAATCATAATAAGAAAAGTACACGAAGGAAAAAGTTTTCTTTCTTTCTATTTCAATGCATTTTTGTAGGTAGAAACAACAAAACAAAATAAATTGCAAAAATTTTAATTTGAAGCACC